CTGCCTTTACATTTGCTTCAACTTCTTTTTTATACTCATCGCTATCCATATATGTCTTCAGGGCTTTTGTTTTATTTCTTCATCTTTCAGTACTTTATATTGAGTAGTATGGTTTTTTCAAATTTATAACATCTTGTTCCATTTTTGCTACTTCTGCTGCTTTTTCTGACACTTTTTTCGCATATTCCTCTGTACTTAGTTCTTTCAGTTGTTCTTCTTTCTTCTTTTTCTCTACGTTTAACTCATTGAGTTTCTTTGTGTGTCTGTCATATTCTAGTTTCTTTTCGTTTTCACTTATTTGTTTCTGTATGTCTATGTTTGACTTTTTGACATCTTTATTTATTTTTGAGTGAACTCAAATTCATTTGACTTTGAGGGTTATAAGCTGTTCCGTCTGCAGCTCCACCATAGCCTGCCATTTTCGCTAAAAGTGCCGCTCTTAAACCTCCACTCTGTGCACCAATAACTCGGTTTTAAAAGCATAGGGTTGCTTGACATTTGTTGCAACATAGGGGGTCATTCATCATTTGTTGTTGCAACTGTTGTTGTGGTGTTAGTCTTACTATTGGATGTTTCAATGCTCTCTTCCTCTTACGTATATTCTTTACGTAGCTTACGTGGCATTTTTAAGTGAAGTTAAAAAAGCGGTTTTTGACAGATGTTTATATGACACTTTTTGTTCAGCTCAAAAACTACTCGCGTCAAAGTGTTGTCAGTTTTGTAAAAATAACCGTCCTATCTCATTCTATAAGGGGAAAAAGGCTTCTCAAAGTATACTTCCTTGGAACGCCCGTAACTTTTCCTGTAGCGACGATAGACCCTTACTTGTCCGGACAAAGTTATACTAAACATCTTCAGGGCTAGAGGGCACGAAGTGCCTGGAGGCCCCACTACCTTTTTTTTTTTTGAAAAATATTACTCTTCTTTATATTTCATGAGATTTTAAATTTATTCTCATAAAATTGACAATTTTATACGTTTAGATGAAAATAAGTGATTTTGCTTGAAATAAAAGTTATTGTTTGCTTACAGCTATCAAATAGATTTTTGCTATTTTGATTAAAATTTGTTAATCAAATTAATAAATTTTTTCAAAATATTAAATATCTGGATCACTCACTGATACAATGAATTGAACGATAAAAATAATACAAACTCAAATAAGTTTCCTGTTTTTCAACTAAAAAAATTATGCAAATTAAATTAAATTGTTTATTCAAATATAAAGCAAAGATGAAGTAATTACAGTTATCATAAACTTTATGAATAACTCTGTAATTGGTTCAGATTTTCGTAAAAATATTTTTATTAATATCGATAAGAATACGTTTCCCTACTATCACAACATATCGATAAACAAGAGTAGAGTGATTTTTATCATCGAAACTTTTTAAAAGCTGTAAGCTGGAAGTAAAAATCTTGTTTTTTCTGAGTTAGTTGTAGAACTATTGATGTACGAGTTATCATTGTGATGTAGAAGGATGTCAATGTACTGACTGAAGGATATGAAGTGAATTGAATTTCATTGAATTTCAATTTGATCAAAATTTGTTGAAATGATATGAATGTGTCAACATCTGTATCACTCTCTTTCACTCCTTCCCTATTCTTTCGAGAACGAAGCTAGCTCAGATTTCGCTGAGCGAATTGACGCTTTTGATGCCCTAAACGTACATATTCTCAAATTTATCGAAAAAATTATACCACCCAAACTAGTATATTCTTATTTTAAATATGATATAAGGGTTTCGTTTTGCGAAAAAAACGTACAATACGCAATTTCGCTAAAAAACATTTAGCTAGCAATTTCGACCTTTGACTCCACTCAAGACGTCACTTTTTTAATTTTGCGGTATCATATTTTTGGAAAATCTTTATGAATATTATATAAAAAGTCTCTTTAATATCTATATTTCATATTTTTATCGATTTTTAAAGTTTTTGCGAAAAGTATTCAATTATTTTTGCTATTTGGTCGGGTAAATGTCAGATTTGCGACATTTTCTGATATGATATTCAGATTTTACGTTGATAATAATGCTTATAGAACCTCTTGCTATTGTGTCAAAATTGCGAAACGATAGCAAAATATTCGCAATATCAAAATTGAGATATTGAGTGAATTATGCATTATAGAGATTAAAAATCTGATTTGTGAAAACATCTCATCAGTATTCTAGCTAATTCAAAAATCTTTACTACTTATTCGATTAAATGAAAGGAATAGTTTCATTATGCTTTAAATGACAGCCTTATAATATAATCATAGTTTTCGCTCAATATGCAGCATTTTTTTTCGAAATCTATGGTCAATATCCTAAATACTGATTGCTTTGCATTCATATTGTTGCATGCTAAGTTCGGTCAAAATGTAAACCTCTCAATTTTATCGTCGGGGGAAGTAACTCAATTCCTTCAAAATTATTCTTTAAATATTGAATTTAAAGTTATTTAATTTGGATTATAAATAAATAGGCTAATACAATATTTAAAAATGAGAAAAAATAACTTTTCAAAGAACTTTTCATAATCTCAAAGAAAATTTTTTATTCAATAATTATATAAATTAATTAACATTCATAATGAAATTGGATTTTTTTTATAAAAATTTGGTCCTACTTAACTTTTTGAGAGAATTTGGCTTTCTCGTAAACGAAAAAGGGGATTTGACGGAGTCAAATCCCCGCTCACAAAAAGTGGACTTTACATGTCAAATTTTATATGCATGTAATGTCCACTTTTATGAGTTTTAGGAAGGAATTGGAAGCCATGAGTTACTGACATTGCATCAGTATCTCATAGCCTCCAATTCCTTCAAAAAATGGGAGAAACTTTGTCCGAATAGTTTAACATTCGGACAAAGTTTCTCCCATTTTAAGAAGGAATTGGAGGGTAAGAGATATACCATATGAATGTATATCTCTTACCCTCCAATTCCTTCTAGAAAGTGTCCAAACTTTGGGTTAATTGCAAAGTATTAACCCAAAGTTTGGACACTTTCAAGTGGAGATGGAAGGCTTTGGGGTATATATTAATACAATATACCTCAAAGCCTTCCATCTCCACTACAAATGGGAGAAACTTTGTCAGAATAGTTTAACATTCGGACAAAGTTTCTCCCATCTTTCAATGTAATTGCTACCTGTGAGGTACTGACTTGAAGTCAGTGCTTCACAGGTAGCAATATCCAAAAATTTAAAAAAATTTTATCAGTTAGTTAGAGAACTAGAGCCTCCTAGGTACTGAACCAGAATCAGTGCCTAGGGGACTCTAGTGATCTATATAAATCTGAGAAACTTTGAGGAAATTGTTCGACATTTCCTCAAAGTTTCTCAGCAATTTAGCGAGGAATGTTCGTTATCGTGTAGATATTTATAATATATACATGATAACAAACATTCCCCGCTAAAAGATGTAAAATCTTATAAGAAATAATTGCAAAAGAATAACAAATTGCAACAAATTTTATATGAAACTGAAACTTATGAGGTAGTGATTCAAGATCACCGCCTCATAAGATTCAGTTTCAATCTCAAGTATCTCAAAAGTAAGGTTCTATTTTTTGCCATGTAAAGTGTCACTTTTTCTGTCCAAATGATAAGTTATTCAGAGAAAGTTTCCCAGCTATCAAGAGGGAATTGTTCCTTATGAGGTATATATTCATACTGTATACCTCATAAGGAACAATTCCCTCCTTAAAACGAGAAAACTTGTTCGAAATTGTTTATCATTTCGAACAAGTTTTCTCGTTTTTAATAAGAAACTAAAGGCTATGAGGCACTGATTATATATTAGTGCCTCACAGCCTTTAGTTTCTAATAGATAGCTGGGAAACTTTCTCCAAATGATAAGTTATTCAGAGAAAGTTTCCCAGCTATCAAGAGGGAATTGTTCCTTATGAGGTATATAGTTATAATGTATACCTCATAAGGAACAATTCCCTCATTAAAATCGTAGATATTTTTACTTATTACTCATGCTTTCAAAATCACAATCCTCTGAAAAGTTATTTTTTATTAAGAATTTAGAATTTTGATAAATACCTTTTTTCAATTTGATATAATACTTATATATTTTCAAAAAGACATTTTGAAAAGATATCTCAAAAGTTCTCTGAAAACCTATTTTTGATTAATTTTGAGAAATATCCGTATTAAATTAATCACTAAATTCATTCAACACTACTTTAATTTTTAAATTCAAAAAATTATATGTGCTTCTTAAAATGTCTCACAAAAATTTTATTATAAAATTATATACAATATTAAAAATCCCACAACATTTTTTACTTTACATAATCGTACTTCCTCGACGATTAATTTCCCCTCAATTCCTATCGTTGACCGAACTTAGCATGCAACAATATCTCTTACATTTTCTATACCCACATCACTATTCATTGCTATTCCTATCTTTTTCATTTTTGTTTGTTTCTCATAATTTCTCAAAAAACATGATAACTTGATATTTGTCAATATCATACTTTATAACGTAAATAAGAACTTGACCTATTAAGAAAAGCAGTAATGAAAAGAAAATCTGAAATTCATAAAAATTACAAGTTTCTGATGACAATTAGCTTAATTAAACCAGGTACAAGATTATATAATTGTATTTTCTATCCAATTATCCATATAATATCTTATCCAGAAAAAATAACTTGATCAATACCAAATGATTTTTTAACTAGTAAATAAAGTATTTTCTTTACACACACATTGTATATCATAGTTTTTTTTTGGTTTCGCAAAACATCCAAAAACAAATATGCTATAAAAGTGACAATTTTAGCAAAACGAAACCCTTATATGATATTATCCTTAGAAATCACACTAGAATATATTTAAATCAACTTTTAAAAAAAGTTCGAATCCTGCGCGTCTCACTTTTTAAATTTTCCAAAAGGAAAATTATATTCTCCTAAAATGAAAACAATTTTCCGAATTGACATCCTTAAAAAAATAAAAAAAATAAAAAAAATAAAAATAAAAAGATTGATTTTATTTTGAATCTGAGAAGAATCCCCAAACTTCAACAATGTCTGGTTTGAAAACAGGTGAACCAGCTAAAAATGTCTTACACACATTGCTTCCGTATTCGAAACCAACTCCGAAGTTGTTTTCGATTGTCGAACTGCATTTATCAAGGTTTCCCTCGAGTCTCAAGTCGTATTTACCGAATGTGATACTGTTACTATCTGCCCATAGACAGACTGGTTCATCAGAGAGAGGTTTGTGAGGAATGAACGCGTCTCTATCGACTGAGAACAAGAAACTAGATGAGTTCTGACCGAATGACTTTCCATCAGAGTTCCACTTCGAAGCTGCGAATCCTCCGAAAACATGATCACCGACTTTTACGAGAACAGCAGTGATTCCTGTTCCATCTATGCAGCTGTGCATTCTCTCAACACTGCGGCCATCGCGTTCTGATGAGTAGAGAAGTTTTGTCTGTGGAGTGGATTTGAATGGGAGTGTCAAATAAATTTCAGTACGAGAAACTTCGTCGGAGAGAATCTTTGAGTGGTTGAAAGGAACGAAATCGAGATCAATTCCCTGGCGTGAGTACTTCTCTTTCTTGCGAAGTGCCATCCTTGCAAGTGATGAAATCTTTACATCCTTTGAATTCTGGTAGTTAGTATTCATGACTGTTCCGAGTGTTGGATCCTTAGAACGCTTCGATCTCTGTGACTCCTGTGTTCCAACAGTTGATTCTGTGAAGTCTGTTCCTAATTCGTTCAAATGGACATCGCGGTTGAGAATTTCTGACTTCTGTTTCTTGTCAATTCCGATTGACATGAATGTCTTGATGACGATTTCTCCGTCGTCTTCGGGAGGAAGAGGGAGATCTGAGTCTTTCTTGATCTCAGAAAGAAGTGTGTTGTTGGCAAAGTTAGCTTGGAGTAAGTCAAGTGGTTCTGATGTATCGCGATGCGTGGAAATCATTGTTTCGAGATATTCAACTTCATTCATCTTCCTTTCAAGCTCTGTTCGTGCTGATTTAAGTGATTGTGACTTCTGGAGATAGAGATGATGGGCTTCTTCAATGGCTTTCTGTGCAGCAAGTTTGATCTGGTTGATTATGTCGGTTTCGCCACTGACGAGTTCGTCAAGACGACGATCAACTTTAAGAAGTCGTTCTTTGATCATTCGCTGGCGGTTTTCGAATGACTTGTTCGGTGCTGAAAGTTCCTGACGAGTATTGTTGAATGCTTCGGCAACAGAAACAAGATGGTGACGAGCAGCTTCACCCTTGGAGTGGCTGCCGTGGATCTTGCACTCTAAACAGACTGGACAATGACATTTCGGACAATAATATTGTACACGATTCTTTGGATGGAGAGGACATGTTTGGAAGTCGGCCTGACTCTCTGTAAGTGCTACACGTGTATGTTTCTCGAAGACTGGATTGGATTTGTGTGTCTTTTCATCACATTCGCTGCATAATTTGATGCAATCGTTTTCGCACCATAATGTAGCGTTGTCTTTGCCACAAACAGCACAGCGTGTGAAGACTGGTGGATCCGGTGAAAGATTATCGCCTCCATCGAATCTGACAAGGTGTGTAGCTTTGACTTGGTTCTGATTGTAAATGATGAACTCATTGTCTTCATTAAGACGAAGTGTATCGTATTGTGGAAGAAGATCGGATGGTGTTGGCTCGTTCCTGTTGTATGAAACTTCCTTGATTTCTCCACCTTGAATTTCGAAGTTTTGGATGGTTCCAAGAGCAATTGCAAGGTGTAATACTTCAAATGTCTGCTCATCACGGTTGATATCGAAACCGTTAGTCTTGAAACGAAGGCCAACTTGTGGATTAACTCTAACACCGCGATTAATAATATCAGAAAGAGGTTGCTGAAGCTTATCAAGTGAAATCAATACATCGACGATATTTGCGTTAGGCATATTTGAAACGTAGGTCAAAAATTTTTCGTTTGATGTTTGGTTTGAAATATCTAAGCACTCTTTAAGTCTGAATTGCGGAGCTTTTAATTGTAATTGCAATAAATACTCAACAATCGTGAAATCCTCGCTTACAACGGAGAGCGGTGTAGCCGACATGAGTAAGTGTGACGGTTTAACTGAAACAGTTTCTGAGTTGGCCGCCGTTAAACGATAGTTTACAATAAAAATCTTTGAAAAATTCTTACACTGGTTTACAATAAATGCGGATTTACCTATATACTGACTAGAATGAATATGTTTGTAGCTCAAAATTTGCATTTTCATTCATATTTCACTCTGAAATTTCGAAATTTTGTCATTAATCTCTTTTTAATTATTTTATTTGATTCTAGTTCAAAGAAAATGAGTATTGATATAGTCAATTAGCAATACAATCTATAGATAAATGAATGATAAAATATTGGGAGTATGATAGATTTTGCATAACTCTACTAGCATTCATTTACTTTATTAGGAAGTTTTCTTACTGGTGATAGATCATATGACTTATAAAAAAACAGATAATATTGAATATAAACTATACAGCTCCAGATATTAAAAGTGTAGCATTTAAATAGCATTGTTTTGCGATGTCACGTGCGCCCTTTTAATGATTTTGGCAACTTAGAGATATTCTGAAAATGTTTTGAACTTTTTATCAAAAATATCATTCCTCTATAAACAGTTTAAGTATCTATATTGGATCTCTCAGTGTAATTAAAAAAATAAAAAAGATTTTAAATTAAAATCTTTTCAAACAAACGTATTTAATTCCAGAGCTTCCAAATCTAACACTAATATACTCGAATACATCAGGAACATTGCTATTTGCAGGATCAAAGTAAATTGCCGGGAAAATTGTATGAATGTTTCCTGATTCGAGAGATTTATCTGTTGGAATTGTTGGTGAATCGAATACGTCAAGTCCAATCCAATGATAAAGTTGAATTTGTAAAAAAAATTCTCATTTCGGAAAGTCCTGCTTTAATTCCGAACCACACGAGAGCCATTGCTATCATTTTATGGTTCTTGATATAGATATGGTCGAGAATTAGGAAATCTCCTGCTTTCATTTGGACAAAAGCATTATTGAAGTAGTTTATCATTAGTAAGAGATAATCCTATTCGTTTGGAACTTTTCGGACACGTTTTATTTGCGTGAAAACAGCGCAATAATAATTATATTCTGCGCAATTATCAAACACAATGAATACTATATCAGAAACTACTGTATCTTAACTGTGGTAATGAATACCAAAAGAATCATTTCCAACAGCTGTAATTGGTTCGAATGCAATTATGTGGCGCCTTCTTTTATTTGTTTCTTCATGTGCTATCAATGAGGCCTTCTCTGATTCCGGGTTTGATCATTGGGAGAAGGTTAATGCATTTCTTCTCTTTCTCATCTTTACTGATTCTTAAGTTATCAGTATAAATTCTGAAATGTCTGTCACCTTTCGTGAACTTGTGGCCATATGGAGAGCTTTTAAGCAAGTTTTGTATTTTATTTAAGTTTGGAAATCCAATCTTTGAATTGGTCTGCAGAAGGAACATGCTGAACACCTTACATTGTTGTGTCAACATAGAAAGCTGTTCTAAAACATTCCCATCTCTCAGCTACTTTATATTTTGGGAGCAAAAGAAGATAAGAATCGTATTGGCCTGCTCTCTTTGTCAAAACTAGAATACAACTCGGTTTGTCATAGCTAGTAATATAAAGAAGATTTGATATTTAGCTGAATTTATAAATTGTCGAGATTCGCTTAAGGGTTGAGTTATCACTTTCTGACTGTCTCTCAATTTTTTTGACACACAAGCTTTCTATCCCAATATTCTAAGGTCAAATGAAAGGTATCCCCACCGTTTAACCTTAAATTTTGGTGAATTAAGGGTGTATTTAAACGCCTATAAGTCCAGCTATAAAGCATAAACTCAATAAAATAAAGTTTCCGTCCTCTCAATTAGAAATTTATGGGCGTTTTCAGAAAAATGCGAAAGGGGCGACAGCGACCGAGCATTTTTCTGAATATGCCCATAAATAGCAATTCTAATTTCAAAGGTGAATCGCAAAAATTTTAGGGCGTATGATTATTTTCCCTTGAAAAATAAAGCTTTAAAACATTGATATTTCAATATATCGTACATTAAATAATACATTTATTTTATATAAAAAGACGATATAATTTTAATTCAAAAATTTTAATGGCCACCAGGCTGTTTTTGTGAACAAACTTTCTCAACTGATGGTCAAATCCCTTAAATTTCTTTCCGATTCATCCATCCTACTGCAGAGGTGATGCTTTTATTCAAAGATTCATTAGTCCTTCTAATAATTAAAATTTCAAATTTAATTTTAACCCCATAAAGGCATCAGTAGCTTATAAGATGCTAATTTCATTGGGATTTAAATACATTATCCATCTATTGGATTCAGAATAAACCATTACTTTATAACATTTTTTGCAGAAATTTTTCAATGGAAAATAATTGTGTGCCCCAAAATTTTGGATTAATATTTGCATTAGAATTTGGATTTAATGGAACTTACGGGGAACATGGTCATTTTAAAAATAGAATGACTGTTTCTTTTCGTATCAATATGAAAGTACCACTGATAAAGATGCATTTCTAATAAATTTTAATTGTCAATTTTTATCGAAGATATCATCAAATTTCAATTCTCACCCGATCAGTAATCGAAAATTTTGTAGCATACGATTATTTTCCATTGAAAAATTATCACTAAAAAACTTTAAAAAATTAACTTTTATTCTTAATTTCATGTTTAAAGGAGGTAGGAAATGACTTTGAGATTGACATCCTATTCATGGCTAAAGTTTTAGGAACTTTGAAGCCTAATTTAATATTGAAATTTTGGAAGATCAATAAATATGGGAATAAAAGTTGCATAACCTTGGACATTAAGAGGACATGTTATGAGAGTGGATAGCGTTCGACGATTCACTGAAAAAGTTATTCCCCGAAAAGACTATCTAAAGCCATTAAGTTTTTGAATATTTTCTATTGTCATTATATTTTTAGTATATTAGGATGCTCATTAAACAGTATGATTAAATATACAAAAATTTTTAATTTATTTTTCAAGGGAAAATAATCATACGCTACAAAATTCTTTCGATTCATCATTCAATTGAGAATGATAATTTTGTAGCATATTTAGAAAAATGCTACAAAATTATGAAATTTACAAAACCTTGTATACGTGCTATTTTTTAAATTAATCTTATAATATAGTCAGAATAAAGATTTACTTTTCTTATTCATTGTTGAATTTTTTTCATTATATGTTAACTCATATTATGTGTCAGAATAGCATCATATTTTCATAGCTGAGATCTATCTACTTTATTATGATATAAATAAATAGATTTATACAAAGCTTTTGAACTAAAGTATAGCAAGAATTGGATATGATATAATTAATTGAATTGATTCTGTGATTTAATTTGTTTATATTTTCTGATTTAAATGGTGAAAATTGAAATTGAATAACGGGATTTCCAAAAAAAAATCAAATTTTAATAAAATAAATGTAATATATTACTCACTTTTCACTACACTTTTAGTTCCTGGAAAAGTGACTAATATATTTTGAAGATTTTTCTTCATTTTCTGGATTTTGAAAAAAAAAAATTGGAAAACTAACATTGCTCCTTATTCAAGCAGAAGCTCGGCAGAGTTGATTATTTGACAATGCCGAGCTTATTTGCCCTTACATATATTAAATTTTCAAATTCACCATTTAAACCACTCAATATTTAGCAAAGCCTTCGGACTTTGAATTTTAATACAAAAAATGTTTTACATTTAATACATCTAGCTCAAAATGCCAAAATCAGAATAACAATTTCATTTTATCGATAGAGTTACTTAGTCAGCTTGCACTATAATCACACAAATTACCTTATTAATCTGATTGTTACTACAGAAAACCTAGAATTATGACCGATACCACATTATTTCAAATAATTATTTGAATATCATGAATAACCAATCCAATCTCAACAGTCATAAGATTCTGCTGTTCTGCAATTTATCCACTTAATGATTCTGCATTAAAAAGGTCATTAACATTTTTAAGATTTCACAAAATTCAATATTTTCATGTTTGTTTGTCAAAAATATGCTTAATTCTAGTACTCTAGTGTTATTAGTAATGATCAAAACTTTACTCACAATTGGCCTCACAATTTATAACTATAACATTTTCAATTTTTTTATTTTTATTTTTATTTGTTATACTGATTACGATATTCCTATTATTATTATTACGGGCTTTGCCTATCAAAAGTTTTCTCTCAAAAAGCCAGTAAAGATTTTTTTTATTTTGGATTCTACCTTATCAAGTAGAATCCTCTTCGTTTTTTTAGTTTTAAACTTTCAATATGCAAAATAAGCTTCCGCGGTTACACTCAATTTTCTTTCAATTTTCTGAGGGGCGCGGAAACTTTTTTATTGAGTTTACATTGATATGTTTGTACAGGACGAGAATAATATTGAGCACTTGACAAAATTGTATTATGAATTCATAATACAAACTAATAAAATGTTTTATTTTTAAGTTTTTATTGAGATTTTTAAAAATTGGGTTGAATAATTTCTTCTTTTTTTGATTACTTGAGATTGAAGATGGTTGCGTTTCACTCAATAATTCCTTGGTTTCTCAAAAATTCCATTGCGTAGCATTTGTGCTCATCATATTCAAATTGATCAATTATTGCCATTAAGAATTGAACAAAATCTGATGATTGCTCAATTTCGAAGGCATACTCTAATGAATTCTCTGTTTCATTGATAAAGCACAAGATCGAAATTATCTTTTTTTCGTCTTCGATATTGTGAAGCAAAGAAGTCAAAACAATCCAAATTGATTCAATTAATATATGGCGATTTTGATACAGAATCTGTTGTTGTAGTTAATGCATCTGAACTTTCATTTGCTTGTGAACTTGTTTGATGTTTCAATGATCCTTTTTGTTGCTGCTACTGAAAATTGATGAAATCTTTCGGATTTGTTATTTTCTTTCCTTCTGAATATACGAAATTGGTAATGATCCAAGTATTTTTGTAATGCATGAAAAATAGCTTGACTTCATTTTTGACAGTTTACAAATGTAAAGTGTGCTATCTAAAAAACTTGGAATTATATCTATGTCTCAATTATCTAACATATTCATTGAAAATTCATGAAACCGCAATATTTTTTTTCATTAAAAAATTATAAAAGTCTTAATAAAAATAATAGTTCAAATCAAATATTTGATTTAAGAATCTTATTTGAAAAATAAAAAACTCAATGTTTTAAAGAAAAGCATAAATGATAGTATATTTTTCGTTTTACATTTTCATATTCATTCTCAAATTATTGATAGGAAACGGTTTGATAGATATCATTTTAAAAAAATTGTGAGTTTTTTTTTGATTTTTGGTGATGAGTTTGAAAAATTTGTTTGTGAAAATGTGTGTTGAAGTTTGAGACTGTGAAGGGAAGATGCTCTGGATTTGCGATTAATAATGACTTCAATAGAATGAAGAAAAATATAATATATCGGGAAATATTTTGAAAAATTTCGTCATTTTGAAATATTTAAAATTTGATAATAAAAAAGCATTTATTTAGGATTGGCTTTTTAAATATTAAGTTTATGATTTTTCCCTTGAACTAATTTATATCAATTTTTTATAAAAAGTTGTTTTATATCAAATAATCCAATGTTATTAAATAACTATTATTTTTAAATTATTAAATAACTATTATTTTTAAATTGTAAATTGAAAAATTTACAAATTAAAAAAATGGAAGATATCTTGATACGTCTCCAAAACCCAGAAGATCTTAGAACTTTTCAATTTCCAACCGTTCCCGCCGATCAGGTTCTCAATGTAATTGAAGACAAATATTAAGAATACATTAATAATCCAAATGTAACTCTCGAAGATACAGCAAAAACACTTTCAATCGGAAAAGAACGTTTGAAAAAACTCAATTTTCGTACTACTCGGCTATCTCATCAAAGAAAGAGGAAGACCAAAGAAAACATTTTTTGAGGAAGATGTATACAAAATTTTGGAAATTAAAGCACAATATGACATTGGATACTTGCACTCCCAAATTTTCGAAAAAGTTGAAAGATTTAATTTCAAGGAGGCTTTCAAAATTTTCAATCAACAACATTTGTTTACATTTCACAGGCATCAAAAAGTTGACGAACATCCACATGAATACGTTGCGCAATATGTTAATCAATTGTAGCATACTGATTTAAAACTTCTGAAGGAAGATTGTTTCGTACCGAAATGGCTAACAAAAAGTGACAGAAAACCTTAAATTGCGCGGCAATTTTAATTAAAAAAATAATCATGAATTTTTGTGATTGATATTATGCATTTTATTTATATTATATAAGATTTAAATTTAGGGGAAAAATTGGAAAAAAAATAAGATTGGAAGTCTTTAGGTAAGAAGGAAAGGGCAAGAGATATATAGTGTACCTATATACCTCTTGTCCTTTCATTCTAAGTAGAAATGGGAGAAACTTTGTCCGCATCATAAGTTATGCGGACAAAGTTTCTCCGATTTCTAATGGGAATTGCAGGCTATGAGGCACTGATATATAATCAGTACCTCATAGCCTACAATTCCCCTTATTAGACTTCCAAACTTTGAGTTAATGTCTTGACATTAACTCAAAGTTTGGAAAACTTCTCGTACGAACAAATGTATTTTAGAAATATGTTATAATGAATCATTGAAAAAATTCAAATTTTAAATTCAAATGCCTCCAAAACCTGCTGCTGAAGCAGCGAAACCACCGCCAAAAAAGAATTTAAAGGGGAAAAATCAGGGGTTAGAACTAGATTCTACACCACCAAGTGCAGGTGAAGGCGTATTTATCTTTAAAGATGGAAATGCAAAATATGAAGGGCAATGGCAAAGATTTGATGGTGTTATGAAGAGACATGGTGTTGGAATTTATACAGATTGCGGAGCAACATATGATGGGCATTTTGTAGAAGATAAATACGAAGGATACGGAGTTTTTACCTCTGTTGATGGCGCAGTATATAAAGGAGAATGGAAGAATGGTTTAATGAATGGTCATGGAATATATAGATGGCCTGATAAAGCTGTATTCGAAGGTAGTTGGGAAAATGGATTGATGGAAGGACCTGGAACTTTTACAGATACAAGCGGCCTTGTGTGGACCGGTACTTGGTCCCATGGCGAAGCTGAATTAGAAAATATCCCTTTATCATAATAAAAATATACTTTTATATTATTTAAATCATCAAACTTTATATTATTTCTCAAGTTTGTGCCTGCAAGGAGCATCTTTAACCAGTAAATTTCACTAATTTCAAAATTTCCTTGAATTTTTTTAGAAGATTGCAACAAATGCAATTGTTATGCCCCACAGTTACAAGTATCTGCTTCGAATGAGATTGGCAACTGACATCAGCAATGTTAGACAAAAATTTCCCGAAAAAATGTCTGATTGATACTTCTAAGTGTAAAAAACGTATCCAATGGCAATTTAAATGCTTCAATTTCACCATCGAAACAAAAAAAAGTTTAATACTACGTTGATGGCTACTTTCAATATCATTCTAGTTGTGATTACACTAGAATTCATTAAAGCAAGATCATTCCTTTCAGGAGGATGTAAATATTAATGGTGTATAAACACCCATCTGACTTCTATTCAAATTTTTGATAAGTAGTGTGAAGTATCATTGAAAATTCATTGTACTAACTCTAACTCAAATCTCTGATAGTTGGCGTGAAGTATAATTGAAAAATGACCTTAAATATCAGAATTGACGGCCATGACATACAGTAGTAATCGTACAATAAAAAAAAATCTAAGTGAATATCAATATTAAACATCTATTTTTTTATTATTCTTGTTCTGCCTTTTTAATAATATTCATAATTGCTTCTATTCTTGTTCTAATAACACTAGAATCCATTGAAGCAAGATCATTAAGATCATCAATAATTTCTGGATGTTCAAGAATAGCATGAGCAAGTGTGTTAGAAGAAAGCAAAATCCTGTGAAGAGCGGTGATGAATCTTTCTTGAACCGAACTCTCATCATAAGTCAAACAATCATCTAATAATTCAAAGAACTGATCCTTTGTTACCAAATCTTCCAAATTCATTGGAGGAACAAAATACAAAATGTTTGCAAATGATTGAATCCATTCTTTTTGATCTGAAACAGACAAATTCTCGAATAGATCGAAGAACCTCTGTATTATTGGGAAGTAATCAACTGTTGTCAAGAAATACTGATTGGCAACAGCAAATCCCAATAAAAATATAGCTTCAGAACACACTTCCGATTGACTTTGATCTAAGTTTTCCATCAATAATTCACCAATAACTCTATAAGCGGATTCATGACATTTTACATTAGTAAATGAAGCAATATATTCGAAAACAACAAGTGCATATTGTCGAACTTCACGTGAATCCCTATCATCTGTAACACAACGACGTGTAGCAAGGTATTTTAATTGGTTTAAGAACTGTTCATCTTTGATTTCTTGCAAAAAGTCAGGAACAGTGTAAATGCATGTACAAATGCCATGGAGATCGGCTAACAAACATTCCGATGTTGTTCTATAGGCGAATGTGAAAAATGTTCTAAAAATATTTAATAAAATTTCGGATTCGTTTTTGTGGACCATTGGAATAAAAGCTTCAGCAACATTAAGATGCATAGCTAAACTAGGACTCTTGTAAAGACTTGGACCTGTAAAATAAGGAATAAAAACTGGGAAAAATGATTGATAAAAAATTTCTGCATTATCTGGGTTGCATCGAAGCATATATAGTACTGTTTGAGAAACTAGAATCTTATATTCGTCAGAAATATCTGGAAATTGTGAAAAGTTAATTTGCTGAACGTAATCAAGTTCTGATAAGATAAGAGCTTTCTCTGGGTCACTAGATATCCGGTTTAACAATTCAAATATATTTTGATGTGGTGCTAGCGCTGTAATATTTGGTAAGCATTGAACAATGTTTCTGATATCAGATTCTGATAAGAATTTTGAATCTATTTGTTCAAGTATTTGAAGAATATCTGCTATTTCTGCACTATTCATGCAATAATTTATTCTTGATAATTTAAATCTTAATTCTTCCAAGTATTCTTGAGGAATTGTTTCTAATTGAGCACTATCTTCAGTATATGCATTAGCATCTGGTACCATTGTCATAGTATCATCGATTCTTTCTGTAAAATTTCGCTGATAAAGATCAGATCCTTTATAGGCTTTTGATGCTCTAATTTCATCATTGCCATTATTGTTAGGATCTTCCCATGCATCCATTAGATTCCAAGATTTAAACTAATAATTAAAAAATTAAAGGGGGATTGTTGGAATTAGACCCAATTATTTTTATATATTTTGAGACTTTTAATTCATTCTTTTAGATGGGATTATTACAAGCTTTTTTAATATTTGTTTCATATTAACATATTCTATGACCTAATTCATACATTGTTGTCTGGGTGTTATTCGCGAAAAAGAACTGACACGCGTGTTAGACCTCGATACTTTCAAATTGAAAAAACAATGGTAGAGAAAAGAAAAGTGACATTCTTCTTATTAGTTCCCGATACTAATTACATTCTTTCTGCTTTTTTTTTATGTCCAATATAGTGGTCGGTTCTGTTGGAAAAGTTCTAGGAAACATACCTCAAGTTAAAAAAATATCTGGTTTAGGATTATGATATTACCATCACCCTTCCACATATTTTACCATTTTCAACCAGAGTTAACCGTAATAGTCCAATATTTTCCAAACATGAGCTACTCAGTGTCTTCAATGAATTTTGATTAGACAATATCAATCAGAGAATGATTTGTTTGAGTATTTAGAGATAAAAACCATTTGATTAAATAATACAAACAAATTTTTATTTAAAATTTATTTTTGAATAAGCGAAATTAAGTCAGAAACGAAAATTGGATCAAGATTATTTGTTGATGGATTAAGGACATGCAAAACACCACTTTTCAAGACAATAGTAATATCATTAATTTCAAATGTTGGTGTTGAACTTCCTTTATCAACTCTTTTGAAAGTTTTGCCATTCTGAGCAGCGATATTCTTCAATAAATCTTCTGCTGTTACCTGTTTGATATCGCGGAGTTTAATTCCTGAAGTAATATGGTTTCTCATTTTTAGATTATCAAGAATTATAAGTAATGACTCTAATATCTTCTGGTTATTCTTGATTTCCTTGGGAATTTTGCTTTTGAGAGCCAAATATTGTTGAGCAGCTGATTTCGGATTTTGATTTTTCAAAATTTTCTTTCCTTCGCTTCGAATAAAGCAATCAGCAACAAGAGATGTGGTCAAATTCTCAGGAAATACAGGAATCCATGGCGTAAGGACTTCGATTTTCCCTTCTTCAAGAAAAGGAATTAATTTAGGGGAAATTGTCTTATAAAAGAAGTCCAGTGATGATCCAAGAACATGTGGCCAGTGAGAAATAAGGGTGGAAGCGGTGTTATCCCCTGGTTTCCACTTTTTCAAAAGATATGAAGCGTGTTCTTTAACAATATTTGAGAAATGGTCAGGAATTCCTATAGATGCTGCAAGATCTACCCATAACATTGTGTCTTGTGATGTCATTTTACTTAAATTGCGAATTAAATATGGTCGAGCGGACTCTGAGAAGAAAAGTATGACATTTTGAACAGAAAGTATACCTAACTTGTATATACGTTTGATAAAGTTAGTAATTTCTTCGTGTTTCTCTCCTTTATTGATTAAAATTTCAAAATGAGGAAAAATCTTTTGTGTTAGAAAATCTTCCCATAATCCTTGCTTGTTTAATGCCTGGGAAACAGATAGTATCCATTCCTTGGCTTGTTTCCATTCTTCTTGGTGGATATTCTTGATATCTTTTAATAATTTCTTTGTATAATGACTAACAACAGTAAATGCAATAGATTTCGGATCTATTTCTGATTTTTTACTTGAAAACTTCAATTTCTTTGTTTCTTCTTGATTTATGATTGTCGGATCTTGAGAAAGGATAATACATATTTTTATTGCTGAATTGTAGTCGAAATTATTTGCGTCCATCCTATCTATGACTTTTCTTAATGTTTGCTCATTCTCTAGACGCCTACTAAAGTTTTTAATTTGGTTTTTCAAAATTACGATTCTTTCTTTAGAATTTTCTGCTTCGAATGCGGTATTTGTTCTGTATCTTGATTGAACATGTGCATTTTGTTCATATTTCATAAGTGATTGTTGAAAATCTGTGCAAATCTGAGTTGTGGTAAAGCCATTTTCATTTCCAATATGGCCTTTTGGCAGTTCAAGTTCTACATGTTTTGATTTTTTCCTCCAAACGCCTCTTGGTTGAAGTAATTCTGGAATTACTTCTTTTGGTTTTGAAAATTCTTCTGAAACACCTGCATATTTAGGTCTTACGTTAACTTGAAATGGATCTTCACCACTATCTGACTCACTTGAGAATCCTAAATACTTGAGAAGAGAATTTCCATCTGTTAATTTCGACATTTTTTTATAATTTCATATGATTTCCTTTTTACAAAAATTGTAATGTTTTCAATTTTGAATTCTTTTGTCAAAAAAAATATTTTTGAGAATGGAGCTTCCTGATTTGCTCATATATTTGCATAGCCTACCACTAATACACTGCAACTATATGAGTAAATCAGGAAAATCATGCACTTTTATTTTTAGAATTTCGTCTCGAAAACCAACTTCAAGTTTTAAATAAGTATTTGTAAAGCCTTTCCTATGAGTCCATCCATGCATCTACTTAGATCATAAGATTTTTGTAATTTCTCTCGGGAATGGGTTAATAAATTGCAATTCAAGAAATGAGTTTACCATTGCAATATAACGCATTGTACTACTGCGAGTGTTAATATTTTGCTTGAAAATATTACAAATTATTTCAAAAATTAACTTTCTTGTTGTATTCAAAGGCTTAAATTTTTCCAGCTCTGATTTGATTTTCTTTTCTTTCAAAAAAACTACTTTGTTGACTTTAAATTTTATAATGTCTGATCAAGACATTCATCAGAATGAATTCAACGAATTGCGAAATATCTTCAAATATCACATCGATTCATATAATGCGCTATATCAGTTAAAAACTGAAAATGAAGAAGAATTAAACTTGATTTACAAAAAGATCCAGACAGAATTGATTGATTCAAAGAAATCTCTTCCAGAATATATTATTGAAGATATTTTAGATATCATTCCATATAATAACCGCTATACAAAGTCATACTTGGAACTATCCAAACATATATTTGATGATTATAATGTTTCAAAGGTCAAAAATATTAACTCTATTTCAAATTACCTATTTTATAAAGAATATCGAATTAAATTAGACAAATCTGATAATTTCGACAAAAATAATTTCGAAAATCTCGAAATTCATTCAGAAAATACAATTTACAGAGCAATTATGGACAATAACTTAGAAAAATTCATTGCTTTTACAGAAAGTGATGAATTTGATAAAGATCAAAAAATTGAAAGCAAATTATATCCAAATTCTTTTGTAAGATATTCATTACTTGAATTATGTTGTTACCATGGAGCAGTTGATTGTTTCAAGTTATTAAGAACGAAATTTAGCTCAGAAATAACTAAAATTTGTCTAGATCTTTCATTTCTAGGAAGAAACAAAGAGATCATGGGTGAATGTTTGAAATATCAAAAACCAGATGAAGAATGCATGAGATATGCAATTATTTCGCACAACATTGATTTTGTTACATTCTTAATGAATGAATACAATATAGAAATCGAAATATTTTATTGTGGAATTTACAATAATCTTGAATCATTTTTAGTTTATTTCGATCAAACTAATGATATTAAAGGAGTATTTGTTTATTCGGTAATGCTCAATATTCCATCACTTTGCGAATATTTTCTTTCACATGGGGCAGATATTAACGAAAAAATAATTACGGATATACAGCTCTTCATTGTGCAGCAGAATATAATAAAAAAGAAATAGCTGAATTTCTTATTTTACATGGTGCAGATATCAACGAAAAAGATAATGATGGAAATACAGCCCTTCATATTGCAGCATTTCAAAATAGTAAAGAAATTGCTGAAATCCTTATTTCCCATGGTGCAGATATCAACGAAAAAGATAAATACGGATACATACTTCTTCATTGTGCAGCAGAATATAACAGTAATGAAATAGCTGAATTTCTTATTTTACATGGTGCAGATATCAACGAAAAAGATAATGATGGCAAAACCGCTCTCCATTATGCAGCAGAACATAATAGTAAAGAAACCGCTGAAATCCTTATTTCCCATGGTGCAGAAATCAACGAAAAAGATATTGATGGCGAAACAGCCATTCATATTGCAGCAAAATATAATAGTAAAGAAATTGCTGAAATCCTTATTTCCCATGGTGCAGATATCAACGAAAAAGATAATGACGGCAAAACTGCTCTTGATTTAACACAATGGGACAATTGTAAAGAAATAGTCCAACTTCTTATTTCACATGGCGCTATTAATTAAAAAATGTAGTTTGCGAATTAACATGTAAACATCCGAAATAAGTCGTAAACTCTAATTCTTATGCAAATTGTGCTGTTATTCTTTATAATAACTTCTTATTTCACATGGCTGTTATTCATTATCGCGTATTTGACAATTATCATTAATTGGTGAATATATTATTATAAATCAGCCATCATCATTAGTGAATATATTATTATAAAAAATTATTCAAATCATTCTGTTCTTCATATAACAGCAGAATTAAATATAGAAAAAATACATCATTTTGTTCTGGACAAATGGTCTTAATAATGCAGTATATTGTTATTAAAGTAAAGAAGCAACAGAATTTCTTATTTCAAATCGGTTTTAGATTAATGTTAAAAATGTGAACAAGTAAATTGCTCTTTATAAAACAGTGATGAAAAATATTATAGAAACAGCAGAGTTGATTTTTTCATATGTATAAAAATAAATATTCAAGATTTTAAAGAGATTCACCTCTTATGATTGATTTATATGGTACCAGATATAAATGCAAATGATAATCAAAATACGAACAGCTCTTCTGATAGCCAAAAATATGGGTTATGCATTAACCCAATATACAAATAAATTAAAATTGTATATCTTTATATATATTAACTGCCTTTGCTATACCCTCTTAAGGTCTTTCTTTGGCCTCAAAAACACTTGTTCTTGTCCAGAAAGCAAAGAATCTAAAGATGTAACTTCTTTGTTGCATCCGAAATTTTTCGCTTGTATTATTACCCGACTTAATTCTGGTTCCCAAAGAAAATTGGGACATTACGCGCTCGATTTTAGTCAATTGGCAATTACTATCAACAATACTCAAATAGTCAAGTTCCTCGATGGCCACACAAATTAAATATTCTGTTCGGCATGTCGAAGATAGAAAATCCTGGAACGTCTTTGATGCTGACAGCAAACATGAGCAAGAGAACACATGAAAGATTGGTGAATGATTTCTGGCTTGATTTGGTCAGAAATAACTTCATTAAAATCTTTTTCAGTGTATAAGCTGAAACATTTTCTGATCTTGTTCTTCCAGCACGTCCTGAACCTGTAATGATGACATTCTTTATTTCTCTACTTATATTGTTTGTTTGACCAATAAGGAGTCAATTGTCAGAGATATTTCAGCAATGTTGGTTGCAACAATCCCTTTTCGCACTGACTTTGATGGAGGAACAAAAACATTGATCATTTCTAACAAGGGCAAAGAAGAATATAAAGGAAATACTTTAATTTCGGAAATTCTCGCCACCGTATCTAATTCCTCTCTAAGAACTTGTTTCAATAATCAAATAAAAGGAGTGAAAACCTTCAAGAGATCTCTTTTAGATTTCAGTGAACAGCATCAAAATTAAGCTAATATGGCTTTTTTAGCTCAAGCCTAATATTGAAGGCTGGAAATGGCATACTTATAAAGTTCAAATAAGAAAAATTGAATTTGTCTCACTTTTCCTTACCTTTTATTAAATTTTTGTTATACATCAATATTATTTAAAGTTAATATTGTAATTGTTCTTCATTGAATTAACGGCCATTCAATTTCTAAGGTTGTTTTATCAAAATTATGATGGCTACTTACCTAGAAGTTTAAAGGTCTCGATTACTCCCTTTATAATTCAACAAAGAATGCTAAAATTAAAGTTACGAACTTCCAAACCACATATATATTCGAATATCCTTGCGAATCCAACCTCCAATGCGAACCTTACATTATTCAATTTCCAAAAGGAAATTATCGAATTGAACTATGGGGAGCTTCAGGTGGCGATGGCCACCAGCTCAATAATCCTACAATGATGAAATATTCCGGTAGAAATGGCTCTTACGTTACAGGTGATATTACATTCCACTATCCTAAGACATTATATTTATATTTAGGTGGAAAAGGAGAAGATCAGACATCAATTGATGATTATACAAATCCTACTCCTGGAGGATGGAACTTTGGGGGTAATGGAAGTATAGATAAGGCTGATGAGAAATTAGACCCCGTATTTCTTCCACCAGAAAATGGTGCAGGTGGCGGGGGAGCTGTAGATCTTCGATTGATTTATCTCGATATAAATAAACCTTTTGAAAATAGTGCACTCATGAATTCATTGAAGAGTCGTATTATCGTGGCCGGTTCTGGTGGTGGCGCAGTCTCAGACACCAATAGAACTGGATTTCCAGGAGGAACTATTACCGCATTGAATAATGGCGAACACATGTTTGGCGGTACTCAAACAGAAGGTCTCTTTGGAAAAGGAATGAGCGGAATAGATTCCTATGAAAACCAAGGAGGAACTGGTGGCTGTGGTAGTGGTTATCACGGCGGATTCCATAACTTTTCCCTTGAAATTAAAGGAAAAGATTCGTTTGAATCTGGAGGGTCAGGTGGAAGCTCATATATAAGTGGGCATCCTGGATGTATAAGCCCTCATTACCCTGAGAATACAATCGCAGATAGAATCACACCATTCCACGAATCTAAACTCTATTTCACTCACACTGACATGAAGAGTGGTATTGATCTCATGCCTGATTCCTTTAGTTTTCGCCAAATCTTAGGTCATGTTGGTAATGGTGTCTGTCGAATTACATTTCTTACTGATTATAATTGCCAAACAAATATAATTCTATATTCCCACCACCACTTTCTTTTGATGAATTTGATTTTAATAGGGTTTGATGTAACCTGATTACCTTTGAATATATATCCCTTTTGTTGTTTTATTGAATAAAAAATTAAATAGGTCAAAAGTTAGCAGAATAAGAGGCATTCACCTGGGAAAACAGAGTCCAACAAAAATATAAGCCTGCTCACTCTATATACAGATATCATCAAATGTTCTGACTTCTAAATGAATTAATTCAGAGAATTGATATTTAACAAATTCAAGATAGGTATCAAATATTGCTTTTATGAGAAGAGGAAAATCCAAGGTTATTGTTCTTTACTTTATTAAATGTAATAAAATATCTCTAATTTATAGAATAGATGGAAGGCTTTGGAGCACATTATATTAATATGTGCCACGAAACTATTCATACACTCCTTGAAAATACCCAAACTTTGGGGAAAATATCGATCAATTTTCCTATGGTTTGGTCTTTTCTGTAAGGAATCGAAGGGCAAGAAGTGTATAATATGATCATATACTTTGTACCCTTCAATCTCTGCTTGAAATTTTCGAAATTAAAGTGACAAAAGCAAAAGTGCCAAGGTTTAAAATTCATTTTCTGGTTTAATGCCTTTTACTGCAGAAAATATTAATTTCCATTTACTGAGTATTTCAGGCATTATTCTTTCGCTTCTATGTGTCGTCCCATTAGTATATTCACTGAAAGCAATGCGTACAGGCGATATTGCTAACTGTAAGTCAGCTTTATTTGCATTTCTCATTATTTTAATTATCGTACCAATATTGATGCTTACACTTTCAGCAATCAATACATACCTAGTCTGCAAAGGCAACAATTCTCTCGCTTTTATCTTTTATTTCGCAATTTCATTTTTCGCACTCGTCATGCTTATTTGCTCAGCCATACTAATGAACAATGCTCATAGTTATTCGAATCTTTCAACAACTCCTCCAGATAAAGTAGAAGCTGCTAGGGAAACAGGCAATCAGGCGAGATTGGCCGGAATGACTGGCATCTTTGCTACATCAATCTGCTTATTAATTTTAGTTCTTACTGCTGCTTCATTTTTCATCATCAGAAATAAGACAAAGAAACAAGAATACTCTCATTGGATGTAAATGTACATCCACTGTATTTCTTTTTATATATTTGTGATCCCGTTTTTAATCTATTCTGTAAACTTTATTTTTCTATTGAAATAATTTCATCAGAATTTTAACATAAATAGTTGTATTTGCTCTAAAACAGAATGAAAATGTTTTCCTACACAGTATTAAGTGCTGATATATCAAAATCTAAAAAAAAAATCAAAAACATAACAATTGCAATGGTTAGTTGGATAATATCATTCAAATACTAAATTAATCAAAAATTCAAGTAAGAAAAAGCAAAAGAAGACTTATTATTAGACGAGATATTGTTGATTTATCTTAGAAACTAAAACTTACCCAGAAACTGTATGCTTAGAAAGAATTTATGATTTGTTAAGATCAAACTCTGTGCACCTTTAATGGTTGAGAAATTAATAAGAATAAACTCGAGAAGTTTGTCGCAAACTCTTCATCAAAAAATGTACTTTTACGAATATGTTCCCAAGGAGTCAAAAACTGTAAGATGTTGCTCCAAACCTCAAGAAATATGAGAATCGGAATAGGGTTATTCTTATGTTAAACTGTTGAAGAAGGTATTATCCGAGCGACAAAGAAACATCTTGCACTTTTGTTGCTTAAAATTCTGTATAAAAATGAGTAACGATTGAAAAAAATTGAAAAAAACGAAAAGTTATTAAAAGAAACGGCATATCTGCCATTTTTAAAGAGCTCCTTGAATAAAAGGAATCTTATCCATTACTCGGACAAAACTCCAACAAGGAGAAAAATAAAATAAATAAAATAATTAAATAAATAAAACAGGTCTAAAAGTATTCCGGAAATTCTTCGTCGGTTGACTGATCATCTGGAGTAGGATCTAGTTCAAAATCTTGAAAGTCGTTACCAAGAGTAGAAAAATCCGCGTCCTGTGGTGATTCCGCTAAAGGATTTCCTAAAGAAAACTTGAGCAGGTCTTCCAAGGTGGAGTCCCCTTTTTCAGTTTGAGTGTGTGCCACCTGGCAAATCACTTGATCGCGGGGCTCCTCAATTTTAAAAGGGGCAGGACATTGAAAGGTTCTTCTGTTCTTAATCTTGTTTTGTAAATGGCGAGCTTGAGCAGCTTTGCTAGCATCTCCTCTAAGTTCGCCAATAATTTTTTTATATTCTTCGAGAGTAATGTTTCGTGCAGTGTCGAACTTGATGTTCCCCTTATCTACTTTAACCATTGTATAGCCAGGGTCTCCGGGGTTTTTGAAGCATAGTATCTGTGCAAATACAGGTAACTTCATCTCTTGAAATGATGAATGTAAAACGATAAAAACTTCTTTTCAATGAATTTATGAATGAGTGTAATTTTTGTAAAGTATTTTTCATATAAACGCCGGAAAAGGCTAAATCTGTGTTTAACATCGATAAATAGATATCTTTTATATTTGGTACGATGGTTTGACATATTTTGACAACAATTGAAAGAAATTGAATGGTTTTATAACAAAATTCTGAGAAATTGCGATTTTCAACCCAACATCGTTGTATTCAGGGACATAAATATTATTAGGCATTATCTTTTAAGGCATCATATAATGAAATTACCCATCTTTAAGGGTGCACACGAGAGGATCATGTAAACTTCAGAATTTAGAACCTTATTTTTAGGCATTATCTTGGCTACCTATTTAGGCTCGAAAAGCAAAACATATCAAAAAATACAACTTGACTCCATTATGACCCTTTCATGGAGGTAGTTTTTATCCGCTAGTATTTTCCCTTTGAATCTCTTTACAATTCGAAATCAAATTCAAAACTCAGTAGAAGAAAGGAAGAATCGACTTACTACGGTTGTAATACGAATAAATACATATATTTAATTATTTTTATTTACATAATAATTGTTTGAAGCTCATATTCCAACAAATTTTTAAATAAAAACATTAAAATGTTGAAAATGTTCATATATTTTAATAGGGTTTTGGCACTTTATTGAGGAATTACTACATACATAGTCGAACTGAACTTGATATTTTGAAATTTAAATTATTTATCAAAATTAAAATTTAACTTGAAATTTATAATTATTTAGTCATATTTTGCATAATTCTGTTGTAAACAGAAATTCATCAAAAGTGACACCTCAGAAAAGCTAAAATATTGAATTTTTGGAACTTTTGATAGAGCATGTTTTTAAATATTAATTAAAGTAAATGTATATTTTGTAAAGATTCTTTTTAATAAAAAATAAAATTTTGAAGAAGAACACAAAATCTTCTGAAAAATAATATCACATAAACTCATATTATTTTCTAATATATAACTATTTTATATAAAAATCAAATTCAATGATCTTAAAAGCGAAGGATAAACCTCAAAATTTACGAATATAATGAGTGGGAATATAATGCTTATCTATCATAAAACCATATGAAATATCAATTTTTGCTTTACGCCTAATTTTTGACGACAATTAGCAAAAAATGTTAAATGTTAACACTCAGTCCATTTGAATATGAAAAATAAAATTGACTTTGATTAAATGTTTTTATTTATCATGCAATTCTTCTTGCGACCAAAGATTTGAATAAAATTTCAAAAAAAAAAGATAGCTTAAAAAATAATATACGGTAGTGTTTACTAATAGATGAATAGTATATAAATTCTATTAAAATGGATTTGATCCAAAAAAATATAAAACCAAAAATAATTGTTATAATTTAAATGAAGAAGTAATTTAAAACGATTTTATTTATGATCAAATTTTATATATTTTTTGGATCAAATCCATTTTAATAGAATTTATATACTATTCATCTATTAGTAAACACTACCGTATATTATTTTTTAAGCTATCTTATTTTTTGAACTTTTATTCAAATCTTTGGTCGCAAGAAGAATTGCATGATAAATAAAAACATTTAATCAAAGTCAATTTTATTTTTCATATTCAAATGGACTGAGTGTTAACATTTAACATTTTTTGCTAATTGTCGTCAAAAATTAGGCGTAAAGCAAAAATTGATATTTCATATGGTTTTATGATAGATAAGCATTATATTCCCACTCATTATATTCGTAAATTTTGAGGTTTATCCTTCGCTTTTAAGATCATTGAATTTGATTTTTATATAAAATAGTTATATATTAGAAAATAATATGAGTTTATGTGATATTATTTTTCAGAAGATTTCATTCTATATGCCTATGAAAAGTACTCTCAAAACTAACTTTTTCCTAATTATAATTAAATCTAGAATATTGTATTATGCTTAGTATTATTTCATTTTTCTCATTCAATTTAGAATTTACAAATGTCAAAAAATTGAGAGCTGTCACTTTTGATGAATTTCTGTTTATTACAATTCTATGTAGATTTTGTAAAAAATCAAGAAAGAAAAATTTTAACGTGCTTTATTTTTTCTTTTTTATAATAATACATATTATTATATAATTAACATATTCATAATGTTTCACCCTTTCAAAAATATAATCCTCCTCCTCTCAAATAAACGTACATACGGGTGGCCTCTTTTTTCAAAAAATTAAAATTTGAAATTTTGGGCTCAAATATTAGAGATTTTTTCAACCTTCAATGATATATGTTGTCTATATCAGACCTCCTTTCTTTTTGATACTTAACATTGTTCCTAAATCTTAGCCGTTAAGGCTGTTCTGAAAATATTTTTTTTCGAAAAAATTCGAAAAAAATTCTTAAAATTCAAAAATCGCTTAATTCCTAAGGATTTTGGAAAAAAGTAGGGTTGTACAAACTGGCACAATTTTGCGGGCCGCCTGCCAGAAGCTGGCACGCGGCCAAAATCAAAAAAGTGGCCAAAAATCGAGCCTCGTGGCGTGGAAAGGGTGGAGCCCGAAGGGCGACATCCTTTCCACGCCACTCGGCCTATGACCAAAATTATATAATATGCTCATTATTATTTTTTCTTTTTCCCTTTTCCCTTCCTTTTTTTCTAGTTTTGGAAAGGAAAAAGTAAAAAATTTAATAATTAATTTTATTACTATGAAAATATACTTTTTAGCTTATATTGTAAGCTGTGAGAGTTTTAAGTGATGGAAGATATAAATCAAATTTGAAATTCAACAAATCTTGTTATGATTAAGTTGAATATTGTACTCTAATTAAGAGTTTTCAGTTATGAACTCAGGTATTATATAATAAAAGTATAACTCAAGATAATAAAGAGGTTTTTAAAATGTAGATCTGAAAATCAAACTACCATGTTTGATATGATTAAGTTGAATAATGTTATTTTATTAAATGGTTCAAATCTGTGAAATCGGCAATTACAAATTAAAGGCGTAGTTCAAAAAATTAAAGAGATTTTAAAAATTTAATATCAGAATTAAACTAAAAAAAGGATTTAGTTATTTCAGTAATTATCAGAAAAGGTTAAAAAGATAGGGTAAGTAATGAGACTTGAGTGAGATGTGAGAAATCATATGTAAATAATTAGATATCTGATGAGTAAGGTAGTAATGAGAGTTAAGATCTGGTTAGTAAGGTAGTAATGAGAGTTAAGATCTGGTTAGTAAGGTAGTAATGAGAGTTAAGATCTGGTTAGTAAGGTAGTAATGAGAGTTAAGATCTGATGAGTAAGGTAGTAATGAGAGTTAAGATCTGATGAGTAAGGTCGGAGAGTTAAGATCTGGTTAGTAAGGTAGTAATGAGAGTTAAGATCTGGTTAGTAAGGTAGTAATGAGAGTTAAGATCTGGTTAGTAAGGTAGTAATGAGAGTTAAGATCTGGTTAGTAAGGTCGGAGAGTTAAGATCTGGTTAGTAAGGTAGTAATGAGAGATCTGCGGGCAGTAATGATACATCTATGAGTACATAACTAAAACCTGAGTTCTATGAGCGAAATCTGAGAGCTGAAAGCCGAGAGATCTAAGGTAAGTAATGAGAGAAGAGAATTTGAAAATTTACAAAATACGTTTACTCATACAAAATAATTCGCATTCTTTTATAACGAATCTCAATGCCAATTAATACATAAAACAGATTTTAGCAATCAATTGCAAGATTTAGAAAGATTTTATTTATAATCTCAGCCAAATTAACAAATATTTTATTGATTTCGTAAAAATAGCAATAAAACATAAAAATATGACATTCTATTTTTCCAAAAAAAATTCAAAAATCATTTTTTAACATGACATTTATATTTTTTAATTTTTTTTTAAATTTTGAATTTTTTTTTGGAATTTTCAACCATGTCAAAAGTCGGGATCTACAAATGTATTCTCTTTGACATAGGATAAAAACATCCTTTCTTATAATTTCATTGTAAAATAAAATTTTCTTAAATTTATTGAATCCAAACTCAACTTTGCAACATTTTATTATCATAAAAACTAAGAAACATCAGGTAAACTTCAATTTGGAGAGCTTAAAATCATATCTAAATTGAAAAATAAGGGGAAAAAAATTGTAAAAAAAAATCTCATTAGATGGGGCAAAAAGTGACTTTTTTAATGTGTTTTTTTAAAAAATCGTGCCAGCTGGCCAAAAAAGGTGTGCCAGCAGGCGTGCCAGTTTGTACAACCCTAGAAAAAAGTTTTTACATGAACATGTGTATATTATATGAAGTATATTGATAAGGTAAAAATCAAATTTTATTGCATATTCATCGAGAAAATAAACTAACGAATCCCTCAAAATTGAGAGGGTAATCCTCCTCCTCTCAAATAAACGTACATACGGGTGCACCCTTAAGACTTTCAAATATCAAATATTTTTTTAGAAAAAAAATCCTCTTATAGTGATCGATGGATATAAAGTGATAATGGCAGACTCGTTATGGTATCAAGCGTAATATGTAGTATTCAATATACAAAATTATAAAAAATAGAGGGAAGTATAATGCATACTAATAAGAACTTGCTGTGGCAAAAGAATTTGATTGTGTGCTCTTTTCATATTTTCATTATCTCATTGTAATTGACCTTCTTCATAAAAATTATGAAAAAAAATAGTCGAAATTTCTGAGTCGTAACATAGAGAACATAAGACATTCATAATTTTATATTTTTATGTGCGGTCCATAAACAAAACTAAAGGTATCGACAGAATTTTCTGGTAGTGATCATCTACTAGTTGGATAGCTCTCATATTTTGTAAATCTAAGCCATAATCTTGGATCACGATCATTCTGATTCAGGATAACTCACTCTTATATGTCATTTTTCTTCATTCTTGATGAAATTGACAATCTAATCCGTATAATTCGAATTAGTTCGGGTTTCTTGTATTTTTGAGGCTTCCTATAATGATATATTTGATTATCACATATGAATCTTATTTCAGATTCCGTTTAGAATTATGTAAATCAATAAAAAAAAACTTTTGTTAAAAGAACTGTTATTTTATAGTGTTGAGTTCTTTTACAATTAATTTGAGATAGTCTCGATAATTTTTAGTTCAAAAAAAATTCGTTATATAAATTGATTCAGTACTATCAGAGCGTATCAACTATTCAATGATGCCAGCACTATATCAAAAAATCAAATGAAAATACGTTATTATCCTCAGAAAATAAATATGACTTCTACGGTTTTGTCACTCTTCATCAATGCGTGAAGTTATTTCTATCCACGTTGGACAGGCCGGTGTTCAGATTGGTAACGGCTGCTGGGAACTCTACTGCCTTGAGCACGGTATCCAGCCAGATGGCCAGCTCCCATCAGACAAGACAATCGGTGTCGAAGATGATGCTTTCAACACCTTCTTCTCCGAGACAGGCGCCGGCAAGCACGTTCCACGTGCTGTTTTCGTCGATCTTGAACCAACAGTCGTCGACGAAGTCCGCACAGGCACATACCGCCAGCTTTTCCATCCAGAGCAGCTCATCTCCGGCAAGGAAGATGCCGCTAACAACTACGCGCGTGGCCACTACACAGTTGGTAAGGAAATCATCGATCTCACACTCGACCGCATCCGTAAGCTTGCTGATCAGTGCACAGGTCTTCAGGGCTTCCTTATCTTCCACTCCTTCGGTGGTGGCACAGGTGCTGGCTTCGGCTCCCTCCTTCTTGAGCGTCTTTCTGTCGACTACGGCAAGAAGTCCAAGCTCGAATTCACAGTCTACCCATCTCCACAGGTTTCCACAGCCATCGTCGAGCCATACAACTCCATTCTCGCTACACACTCCATGATCGATCACTCCGACTGCGCTTTCATGGTCGATAACGAAGCTCTCTACGATCTCTGCCGCCGTGCCCTCGATATCGAGCGCCCAACATACACCAACCTCAACCGTCTCATCGGCCAGGTTGTTTCCTCCCTCACAGCCTCCCTCAGATTCGATGGTGCCCTCAACGTCGACTTCACAGAGTTCCAGACAAACCTTGTCCCATACGCTCGTATCCACTTCCCAATCTGCTCCTATGCACCTGTCATTTCTGCAGAGAAGGCCTACCACGAGCAGCTCTCTGTTGCCGAAATCACAAACTCACTCTTCGAACCAGCCAACATGATGGTTAAGTGCGATCCACGTCACGGCAAGTACATGGCTTGCACACTCCTTTACCGTGGTGATGTCGTTCCAAAGGATGTCTCCGCTGCTGTCGCTACAATCAAGACAAAGCGCACAATCCAGTTCGTCGACTGGTGCCCAACAGGCTTCAAGATGGGTATCAACTACCAGCCACCAACAGTCGTCCCAGGTGGCGACCTCGCAAAGGTCCAGCGCGCTGTCTGCATGCTCGCTAACACAACAGCCATCGCCGAAGCTTGGTCTCGCCTCGACCACAAGTTCGACCTCATGTACGCTAAGCGTGCTTTCGTCCACTGGTACGTCGGTGAGGGTATGGAAGAAGCTGAATTCCCAGAAGCTCGTGAAGATCTTGCCCTCCTCGAGAAGGACTACGACGAAGTCGCTGCTGAGTCAGTCGAAGGTGGCGATGAGGAAGAAGATGGTGGCGAAATGTAAATTCGCTAATTCCTAAAACATTATTATTAATGCTCATAATTAGATATATTTTTTTCTCATTTTCTTAAAATTATTCAGATCCAATTTCATTCATATTGGATGAATAATGCTAATTTTTGCTAAGCATATTCATGTTGCAACTAAATTTGCTTAATATAATGGCTTGACTATCATTACCTTATAATGTTGAAATTTGATATTGAGAATGGAAGAGAAGCTAAAGAAAAAAAAATTAAAGGAAATGAGAAAATTTAGCTCTGATCTAGCCTCCTTTCATAGCAAAGCTCACGCAAATAAGATGATTACGAATTCTCTATCATACCTTCAAACTGTATCAGAATAGGGTTGTATATGACTTAGCTTATAACGGTATCAATAATTCTGCTTTTGCCCCTTATGAGATAAATTTAACTGCCGGAAAATGGAAAATTGAGTGCTGGGGTGCTAGTGGTAATAGTTCGATAGGTTATGATTACGGTCTTGGCAGCTATACTAGTGGCATTTTATCACTCGAAAGAAATTTAACTCTATATGTTCATGTAGGAGCAAAAGGCTGGCAACCACAGCCTCAAGCTGCTTATGGTGGTGGTGGCCCAGGACAAGTAGGAGGAGGTGGTGCCACCGATGTGAGATTGAATCCAGGACCATATTTTGATGAAGATGGATTGAAAAGCCGAATTATGGTGGCCGCTGGTGGTGGGGGATACGATTATGCTGGTAGTGGTACTATAGCTGGTTCTGGTGGCTGTTTGAAAGGTTTTGATGGCAATGAAAAGGGAGGTAACCAAACCTCCGGAGATGATGGTTATTATAAGGGTAATTTTGGTTTAGGAGGCGGAAATGGAGAAAGATTATTTTATTACGGCACTCCTGATGGAAATGCAGGGGGTGGCGGGGGCTATTTTGGAGGAGGATCTGCATTCACTGTTGACATGGGCTCAGCAGGCGGTGGAAGTTCATACATAAGCGGTTTTCCAGGATGTATTTCTGTTGATAAAAATTATACTCAAAATAATCCTAAATTTTCTACTGCAGAAGATCCTTCGATCCATTATTCGGGGATAAAATTTGAGAACCCAGTGATTATTGATGGGAGAAGTCCTATGCCCACCCCGAGTCTTAACTCAACAATTCCAGAGTATGGTCATATAGGAAATGGACATGTAATCATTTCCACAGCTGAAAAATTTGGTTATCCATATTTTTCTCGAATTACTGCTATACCATACAAAGTTAAATGTTCAATTCCATTGAAAGTTGGACGCAATTTTGATGTTTTCTTCACATTATCTATTGTATATTTGTCTCTCGGATAAAACTCATATCTAAGGTAGTCACAAAATCTCAGTAGTGAGGCTCTCAAAAATTGAACCGTACTCCATACAAAATTTGTGTACCCTCACTACTTAGATTTTGTGGCCTTCAATTGAGAGGTTAGTTTTGATAGAGCAAGTTATAAAATTAAAAGGGAAAAATAAATAAAATTTAAACATTTAATTATATATAATGTAAGGAGTGTAATTCCAAATTTTCTAAAAACTATTCAAATTTGAGCATTTTTTTGGAAATAGTAAATCTAATATGTACATCTAATAACAACATGATTCATCACCTTTTCAAGCTCTGCAGTCAATTTTTTGAAATTTGATTGAAATAAATGTAGCAAAAATTACATTTCATTAGGGAATATATGAGTTTCTCTGGAAACAGCCTGATAAATTTTAAATTTTGTCCAATCAACATGAATGCATTGAGAAATTTGGATTGATTTTCTGGTAGAATCTGGAACAATTCAACCATGTATAAATGGATCATGTAATCATCATGAAATGTTAGTGTTAGAGTTCAAAAGAAACAGAATGAGTGGAAATCAAACACAATCTGAATAATTGTAAACGTATACAATCTTTAAGTTTGTATTTTGAATTCTACATATATGATTGTGTAATTCGTTCTTTCAAATTTTCGGATTCAGGCATGTTTTGATAAAATTTATTCCCAAAAACGTCAATTAACAATTAAATTTAGTGTATTTTAAATATATATACGTATTATATTTTATAAATTATATTAAATTCGCAAAATTTTAAGTTTTAAACAAAAATAAAAAATGTTCAAAATATGAAATTATGCATAGGATAATAAAATTTACATGTTAGCAATTTTTTTTGAATTGCTTTCAATTTTCATATTGAAATTTTTAAGATTTTTTTGTGAAATAATAAGCAAGAATATCAACCTAAATAATATTAAATTCCATGCGTTAATTTCCCCTCAAAAGTCATTGACCGCCTCTCAATCTAGATTTTGTGAGTACTTTACTTCCCTCTATTTTTTATAATTTTGTATATTGAATACTACATATTACGCTTGATACCATAACGAGTCTGCCATTATCACTTTATATCCATCGATCACTATAAGAGGATTTTTTTTCTAAAAAAATATTTGATATTTGAAAGTCTTAAAGATGGGTAATTTCATTATATGATGCCTTAAAAGATAATGCCTAATAATATTTATGTCCCTGAATACAACGATGTTGGGTTGAAAATCGCAATTTCTCAGAATTTTGTTATAAAACCATTCAATTTCTTTCAATTGTTGTCAAAATATGTCAAACCATCGTACCAAATATAAAAGATATCTATTTATCGATGTTAAACACAGATTTAGCCTTTTCCGGCGTTTATATGAAAAATACTTTACAAAAATTACACTCATTCATAAATTCATTGAAAAGAAGTTTTTATCGTTTTACATTCATCATTTCAAGAGATGAAGTTACCTGTATTTGCACAGATACTATGCTTCAAAAACCCCGGAGACCCTGGCTATACAATGGTTAAAGTAGATAAGGGGAACATCAAGTTCGACACTGCACGAAACATTACTCTCGAAGAATATAAAAAAATTATTGGCGAACTTAGAGGAGCTGCTAGCAAAGCTGCTCAAGCTCGCCATTTACAAAACAAGATTAAGAACAGAAGAACCTTTCAATGTCCTGCCCCTTTTAAAATTGAGGAGCCCCGCGATCAAATGATTTGCCAGGTGGCACACACTCAAACTGAAACAGGGGTGTGTGATGATTCCACCTTGGAAGACCTGCTCAACATTTCTTTAGGAAATCCTTTAGTGGAATCACCACAGGACGCGGATTTTTCTACTCTTGGTAACGACTTTCAAGATTTTGAACTAGATCCTACTCCAGATGATCAGTCAACCGACGAAGAATTTCCGGAATACTTTTAGACCTGTTTTATTTATTTAATTATTTTATTTATTTTATTTTTCTCCTTGTTGGAGTTTTGTCCGAGTAATGGATAAGATTCCTTTTATTCAAGGAGCTCTTTAAAAATGGCAGATATGCCGTTTCTTTTAATAACTTTTCGTTTTTTTCAATTTTTTTCAATCGTTACTCATTTTTATACAGAATTTTAAGCAACAAAAGTGCAAGATGTTTCTTTGTCGCTCGGATAATACCTTCTTCAACAGTTTAACATAAGAATAACCCTATTCCGATTCTCATATTTCTTGAGGTTTGGAGCAACATCTTACAGTTTTTGACTCCTTGGGAACATATTCGTAAAAGTACATTTTTTGATGAAGAGTTTGCGACAAACTTCTCGAGTTTATTCTTATTAATTTCTCAACCATTAAAGGTGCACAGAGTTTGATCTTAACAAATCATAAATTCTTTCTAAGCATACAGTTTCTGGGTAAGTTTTAGTTTCTAAGATAAATCAACAATATCTCGTCTAATAATAAGTCTTCTTTTGCTTTTTCTTACTTGAATTTTTGATTAATTTAGTATTTGAATGATATTATCCAACTAACCATTGCAATTGTTATGTTTTTGATTTTTTTTTTTAGATTTTGATATATCAGCACTTAATACTGTGTAGGAAAAGTCATTGACCGCCTCTCAATCTAGATTTTGTGAGTACTTTACTATCTTTTTGTGCATAATATGAGTTCTATAAAGAGAAAAATCCCTTCAACATTCTCTCTGCACGCATCATATGGAACAATAATCTACGTTACATGATTACCCATAGAAATGATTCCTGGTGATTTTGAATTTCAATTTCAAAATGAGACTTTCCACTATTTGTCATAATTAAATATTCCACACACTATAACAAGTGTGAACTTGTTTTCTTATCGGATATCTATGGAGTTTCTGTTAAGTTCATTTGACATTTCATCGAAAAATGCATATTCAGAATAATAAGTATCCAATATCATTCAAATAAGCTGATTCACAACGTCTTCTTCCTCTGTTTTTTCTTCATTATCCAATTCCTTGAGAAATGCATCAATAACCAAAATTTGATTTTCAAGAAACAAAATCTTACTTATTGGAATGGCTGTTTTAATAATATTCCTTATAGATATGATTATTCATGCTAAAACTGTTCCAAGGGCTTTTTTGCATCTTTCAAATTCGATCAGTTCTGCATTCATCCAGAAAGGTACTCAATGAGTAAGATTATTTTGTAAGTGTATGTAGTTTATCTAATAGAAGCACAAAGAAGATTTTTATCAAAATTATTGATTGAAAACTAACGAAACTGGAAATTTCTAATGTAACATTGTAACAAAATCTTTTTGCATTTTTTCCTGTATAATGAGCGCGCATAAATTCAAAAAAAAAAGTTAAAATTAATCATTTTTGCATTTTTTAGGAGAGTTCAATCAAAAATTAGTTTAAAGGCCAAGAACCTTCCAGGATGTTGCCTTCTCTGTGAAGAGTTCCTTTTCAGAGGCTTCCATCTTGCCTCTTACCCAATCATTGATGTGGAGTCCTTCAACGACATGGATACCAGCCTTATCGACTGTAACTGGGAATGAGTAGATAACACACTTCTTGATACCGTATGGTTCGTTATCTGGAACTGGGATAGCCATTGAAACCCAATCACCAGCTGGAGTTCCGAAGTACCATGATCTCATATGCTCGATAGCAGCATTAGCAGCAGAAGCAGCTGATGAAGCACCGCGCATCTTGATAACTGCACCACCACGAGTTGAAATCTTCTGAACAAACTCGCCCTAGTAGTATTCTGGCTTGAGAGCATCAACAACCTTCTTGTTGTCCTTGCCGTATACAGCCTGTGAAACATCTGGGACCTGTGTGTTGGAGTGATTACCCCAAATTGTAACTTTGTGGATTTCATTTGTTGGAACGCCAAGCTTAGCAGATAATTCGCCAAGCATTCTGTTATGATCAAGGCGTGTCGTAGCGCAGAAGTTCTTAGCACCGAGCTTTGGAGCTGAAGCGAGAGCAATGAGAGCGTTTGTGTTAGCTGGGTTACCAACAACAAGAACCTTGACATCCTTCTTAGCGTAGTCAGAAAGAGCCTTGCCTTGGACTGTGAAGATACCGCCATTCTTGCTGAGAAGATCAGCACGATCCATACCATCCTTACGTGGGAATGCGCCAACGAGGAAGGCGACATCAACATCCTTGAAGGCCTCTTCAACCTTGTCTGTAGCAACAATACCTGCAACAGCTGGGAAGGCGCAGTCCTGGAGTTCCATTGTGCAGCCTTCAAGAGCCTTCATACCTTGTGGGATTTCAAGGAGGTGAAGAACAACCTTGCGATCACCGAAGAGGTCACCAGAAGCGATTCTGAATGTGAGAACATAGCCGATTTGACCTGCAGCACCTGTAATGAGAACGTGGATGGTTCCATTATTTTAAAGTGATGTGATTACTTTCCGATTTTCTTCTTATCAAAATATTTGAGAGCATTTAACGATGCTTAAGTGATGTGAAATGAAAAGTATTAAAATTTTTATAGTACTAAAGCTTCCAATATATTTTAGCACACTTCGGTTAATTGAATTGCTAAATGTTCGGACGATACTGGATCTCTTTTCTGAAGATTTCATCGTTTTGAATTTTAATGACATTTTTGAGTGAGATGTATTAGATTACTGTAGAAGAGCGAAATATACGGAAAATTATCGAATATTGATTTCTCCAAACAGGTGAATTTTTTGAATAGTCCCGAACCTTAAATACTTGAACACTTATAAAAATGCTTTTAAGTGGATTAAGTCACTCAACCTACAACATCCTTTTATTCCTTATTTGAACGTTTGGATTGCATTAAAATTATATTATCAAATCAAACCTAGTGATGCGAGGAAAGGGAACCTATTTAATTTAGACATCGAACTCGTCCACTGTCATTCGTCTTGACCAGAATTTGTAGATAGTTAGCTTATGTTGATAAATTACCAGCCAAATGAACAAAGAGTCTTTGATAATAGGTCAATTAAAGCTAAATGCGTCTGGTTTATAAAAAAGGTGAAATTTTGATCTCTCATGATTATATGGGGCAAAGTTCTAATACTTATCTTCATTTTCATTTATAAATGTATGATTTTTTTAAAAGATTCCATTTTTTTCTTTATCCGTAAAGATTAATAAGATTTTAAATGGACAAAATGCTATTATTTTTGATATATTTGATATTTGTACGTATGTATTAAAAATTTAGTTTATATTCTCAAATATTATTTCAATTAGGAACTATTTTAGAAAAATCAGGACATATCCCAAATTCACACTTTTAAAATATTATCTTTTGTCGAATCAACTGATGAGATATGTTAATTGAATGAGTTCCCTCCATCAGCTTTTCGCCAATGAAGCTATTAAATCCACTATCATTACTTACCATCCATACTTCAAATGTCTTAGATAAAGCTCCAACGATTTCTCCAAAACTTCAGTGTCTAAAATCTGTCTGAATTGAATTTGAAAAGATTTTTATTGAATTTGTAGAAAATGAAAATCAAGTTTTCCTTTGGACAAAAACAGAAAAAAGATAATTTATCACCTGTTCAGATGCTAGTTAGTGGATTCTTCGGTGTTATTGGCCCTAAATGTCTAATAGCTCCGCTTGATACAATTCGAGTTTCAAAAATTCTTCATGGTAATCAGGGAAATTCTATTTTATGGGACGAAATCCGTACGCAAGGATTTCCACGTCTTTTTAGTGGAATTGCATGCGATGTAATTCGAATTCCAAACCAAACAATTTTCAGATACCTTCTATTCGATGAATTGAGAGCATATATGAATTCAGGAGTAGCTGATATGATTGCAGCAACAGCAGCATCTATTACATTTCATCCTATCGACGTAATTCATACATTAATGGTTTCTGATCCCGTTAAATACCCAACAGTTTCTAAAACTGCGTCATTGGTTTGGCAAAGAGATGGAATCAAAGGATTTTTATGTGGGTTGCATCCAACTTTGATTGGATATTTACCATATCGAGGTGTTTCTTTATCTTCACAGTTCTTACTTCGAAAGTTTCCGATTAAAAAATCTCCAGTTTCAGACTTCCTTATTCATGGCACAGTCTTAACTTGTGCTCAGTTTGCAACTTATCCATTTGATTTAGCAAGAAAGAGGATGATTGCTGACGAATCAGTACATGGCATGAACTACATAGATGTTATCAAAGATACTTACAAGAAACGAGGCTTCACAGGAGTTTATTCAGGATTTGGTGTTACAATGGCAAGAATCTATGCATTTACATACTTACAACATAAATGCACTAGTCTGGCACAATCATTCTTATACAATTTCAATTATTTGCTAAGAAAACACAAATTTGATTAAATTTTGACGGGATTATATAAAGTAACACAAAATCTAAATAGAAGCATACCATAAAGATTGTAAGACTCCATGTGATTTAGAATAAATATTTCAAATTTTGAAAAAAAATATTAAAAATTCAAATTGTCATCAAAATAACCAAAACATACTTCATCTTAGATATCTTTCTTTTTCAAAGACGATTATCTATCTCTGTAAGCCTGTATCTCAACTAATTAATTTCTTTGATAAAAGTTTCTCGGCTCATTGTTTGAGCTATGAGCACATTGCATCCTGAAAATAAAGTAAATCTCAGAATGAGAAGTAATATCTATCTCGAAGAAGTATTCAAGTTGATGATGCAAAATGTTTGAGCTATATACTAAGTAACATACTCTACATTCTTTCAAAATTAACATATGAATACTCATATTTTGTTGTCTCCTCTACATTTTAATTTCCATGAACTGATTTGAAATATCTTATTTTCTTCATATAGATATCAATAGATTCATGAGACAACAACATATGATGTGAATTATTACTATGATAATCCATATTCAAAGAATTTGAATTCTAATTTTCATCAGAAGACATTTTTTGAGAGACAAATTTATTAATCTATATATAGGGATCATATTTCATTTGTTAAAATATAATATTCAAAAAAGTCTGTTATTTCAAATTCAATGGATAAAAACACACTTCGTGCAAATAAACAAAGGGCGCAAATACAAGATCAACTTCGTGCTGCATTAAGAGGCACAGTAGGTGTAGATGAACCAGTGCAGCATCCTTTTATTACTGCATATCAAACTCTTGAACGTGAGCTTGAGTTCATTGCTCCATTTCAGTCATCAAATATGTTTGCTTCAGTGAAGGATGTTTACGATGCATCAATTGCATTAAAAGAAAAAGCAGCAAATTGGTTTTATGATGATAAAGTTACTCCAGAAGGAGAGCAAAATCTTGCACTCCTTCAGTTTCATGGTAACATATTAAAAATACATCGAGTTTTACTGTCTAGAACTGTCGAAGGAACTTCTTTAATTCAACCAGCTCCAGCAACACTTCAGAAGCAAGTTGAAAAGACATACGAAGCATTAAACCAACTTAATGCCGTTATGACACAAGTATCACAGATTCCTAAAGCTCCAGCAACAAGAACAATCAAACAAAAATCTGCTCGACCCATTGTTGCAAGAAAAGTCGAAGAACAAGAAGATCCTCTCGATTTGCCATTGCGTATTTCACCATTTATTACAGAAGGATCCAAGAAATCAACTGTTGTCATGGATGGTGTCACTTGGCCTCGTTATGTTTAATTCATCATCATGTTTGATACAATCATGAATTGATTTGATCATTCTAGAAAGATTGAGTTTAATATTTTATTCAATTTTTGTTTCTTCTTTGTTAAAATTGTTTGTATATTTTCTATAATTTGTTCTCAAATAATATGCCTCATTTGATCAGGCCTACAGTATTTATATTAATTATAAATAAAGGTAACTAAACTCCTTTCGCCGATCCGATTTGCTCCATATTTAAAATATAGCTTGCATATGTAGAAGAAAAGCTAATTTTGAAGTACGCCCGAAATCCACCAACAGGATTTCGAGCTACTAAAAAGGTACTTTTAAATGTGATTTTTTTTATAAAAAATTAAATTTATTTTAAGATCAGACTAAAAACTAATTTTATGGAAAATCTATATCGACAAATTTATTATTTATTGGGTATATAGATTTTTTGATTATGGCGATTATGTCTGATATGCTTCCAATAAGCCAAAACACATTTCATACTGATTTCTATAAAAGGTATCTTTATTATAGAAGTGTAAGCTATATATGTTTGTTTTTTTATTATAACAAATTCAAAATTCTCTTATAAGGACTAGATGAAATCTGTATTATTAAATCATTAGCTAAATGAAGGTTCAAATAGAAAGTAAATATCAATTTATATGATACTGAAACCAAATAGTTCTTTTAATAAAAGATAACACGCTGAAAATTATTGAGTATTTGCAAATCTCAAAAATCTATTGGTGAATTTGGCTCAACTTTTAAAATTATAACATCCATATCAAATCATAAAAGCAGACAAAAATTAAAGCCAAACCTATCGGCCAATTTTTTTTTGATATTTTGATTTTTGAGGTATACTTTTAAAAGTGGATTTAAAGCACTTATGAAAAAACATTAACTTCTGTCGTTATGATTATTGATTTAGACAATAATGATTTTAATCTTTGATTATCAAAACACTAAAGTCATCTTTTTAACATTTGCTTGGTAGTATTAACTCAAGTCTAAAGTACTATTTTATGTGGCACTCTTAGAATTTTTGTATTCATTGTACACGCTGAAATAGTACCATTAAAGTTATGGCGGACTTTCAAAAAATAGTTTGGTCACCTTTTTATAAATTACGAATTGGAAAAGAGTTATTAAGATTTGAACATGAAAATGAGCAAACTAAGAAAATATCATATGTGGATCAGAGATGAACATCAGAAACATCAAAAATTATCTGGTCAGATCCCCAAATAGCATTTTCATTGAATTGGTTTAAAAACCTTGATCTTGATATATTCTAAGTTCAATTTATCCAATCAGTTTATTTTCAAATATTTTCTTTTCGTTTCTGTAAAAATTAAAAAATGTTTTTGCTTCTTCTTTTTTCGATTGCTAAGGCCGCATTAGTCAGAGGACAAGATCATTATGCAATTTTAGGTGTAACAAGGAAAGCTACTAAGTCAGATATCATCAAAGCTTATCGTGGTTTAGTAAAAAAATATCATCCCGATAGAAATAAAGCAGAAAACGCTCAAGCACTATGGATCAAAATCAACGATGCATATGAAATACTTAGCGATCCAAAAGCACGTAGATTATATGATGAAAAAGGTTTAGTTGATGAAACAATGGACAATGCTCCAAAGAAAGATCACAGCGTTGACGTTGCCAGGCAGATCATTAACAGAGAAATGACATCACGCTCTACAAACAAGAATTACGGCGAATTTGACAGACGAGAACAAGTTGATGTTGTTATTGAGATGACTGATCAGAATTTCCAATTCAAAACATCAGATGGAAGGCCATGGGTTATCCTTGTGTATCAGCACTACTACGATTACCAATCAAATAAGCCATTTTTGGAAGATTTATTCCAAAAAACAGGACTTCTCTTTGGAATTGCGAGAATGCAAATATCTCAATCACCTAAGATCGTAGAGAAGTTTGGTATCAGATATTCACCACAACTCGTTGTCTATGACTCAAAAACAAATAATCACTTTTTATTCAATGGAGAAATGAAGTTAGGCAAAGTCATCAACTTTGCCACACGTAAATTCGGCGCAGATGTTACAGTAGTCCATTCAGATGAAGAAATGCTGAAGTGGAGAAAACAAAATCTCGATAAATTACATATCATTCTATTTTCTGACCTCAAAGATGTACCAAATTCATTTTTACTTGCAGCAGCCTTCCTTAAATACAATTGCGTGTTCGCATTCGCTTCAATTAACAAAGATACAATTCCGAAATTCCCTCGCGCTTTAGGTTCGACTTCCATGGAAGATCTACCGACATTCGTATTCTACAGGATGGCTAACCCGCAGGATGATACCTTCGGCGGACCCGTAATTCCTATTGTTGCCCCTATGGACCTTGATTCTGGTTGTTTGGCCGCACTCGCCCGTCACTTTTCTTTTCCAGTTTTTTCAGAAGTCAACAGCGGAAACTATAATAGATTGTGTTCAGGAAGATGCATACTGTTCTGCGAAGGCCGTGAAATAGCCGAGGATATAAAGATTGGCGCAAATGCAATGAATATTGAAACAGGAACAATTAATTTGACATTGGAACCAGAATTTAAAGAGAAATTTGATTTAGAACCAGGAGATTTCGTGTTCATTAAACCAAAAGAGAATAAATACGCAAGATGGAGAGAAATAACAACATGGAAAGAGTTTAGAACAAATATTGAGTTTGCAAACAAAGGTTTGTTGACTTTGAATTCTACAGATAGTATTCCTAAGATTCAGAGACCTCCTCCAAAGATAGAAACACCAAAGACAAAGAAGATTGAAGAAATAGAACGTGCTGTGAAGAATTCCCTTTTGGATGTGTTAGTTAAATTTAATTCAATTATCAAATCTCTTCCTCCTATTGCTGTTCTCGGTGGACTTGCACTTGTTCTCGTTTTATTTGGCGAAATGATTTCAAGGTGCTTGTCACCAAAGGTAGAAACACCGAAACACGACAAGAAATGGGACTAAAAATTTGTGTTGTTTGATATATAAATGACAACTTTTTTATTTAATTTACACCCATCTGACACCAAATCAATTTTCAATTTTCTAGTTTCACTTCATCTTTTCTAATTTGATGTGCTTTATTAGAAAAAGATAATATGTCAGTGTACAATTATGTGAATCAGACTTTTTTTATCTGCGTCAATCGGAAACAGAATGTCTGATCCATTTATCCATTTAAGAGAAGTCATTCACTTTTTTATTGGAATTTTTTTTGCATATACTTGAGATAGATTTGAATGAAAACAGATCTGGCACAATCTTCGAATGCAATTTAATCTTTTTCATTAATATTTGCATTAAGTGAAAGAAAATACGTTATGTGATGGAATATTTAGTATACTCTAACTACCAAAAGTGATTCAGAAAAATATCAATTCTATCATAGACAAACTAATCATGTGATACATTAAATATAATAAACATTTAATATATATTTAAAAACAAAAAATAAAACAACAGAATAAATATAAATATAAATCAATTCATTGGGATGACTAATTCAGGCATTATTCCTGTTAAATTGTTCTGTTCTAAGACTCTCTTTCTGATCATTATTTTGTTCGATTGAGCGACTTTAATCATGTCCAAAGCATCAGTGATTGCAGATCCCCAGACATCCAAGAAAGGATGTTCCTTTCCTGGAATTCCTATTATAACATTTCCAAATCCAACAGCCGAGCATGGATTGACTTCAACATTCTTTGACATTGAAACTTTTCCTGCTTCATCAAACATTTGTCTCAAAACTAAAATAATTTTGTGGACAATGTAAGGAGTGAATTCCATTTCGTGGCTGAAATCAGTTCCGAAACAATACATTGATGCATGAGTTCTGTAGTACTTAAACACCTTTGATTGAGAAATAATAACATCAAATCTTCTGAAAACTTGATCAATAATTTGTGGACTTTTTTCTCCAAAATCGGTTTTGACACGAACGATAGCGATTATTCCAGATTTTGTTTCATTAATAGGGAAAACCGCAACCACTTTTTTTAATCACGATTTAAATATATAAATCGCGATTTTTTAGAAAAATCGCGACTTTTTTAAAATCGCGTTTTTTAATGAATTGCGATTTTATTGTGGTCGCGATTTTTCTAAAAAATCGCGATTTTTATGGAAAATTGTGATCAAAATTAAACGCAATTTTCTTTATCAATCGCGAACATAGAACAAATCGGAACCATGATTTTGGACCTCATTAAGCGAAAAGGTCGCAATTAAATTCAATAACAAAGCAATTCACAAAGATTTTTTGAATCTAGAATGGCTGTTTATCCATTTTAGACTGCTCACAATATGGTTTTTCTGCATACTTGCCGAAATCAGAGATCTAAAATCAAACAATCTCGATAACAAATACCTCAATCCCACTTTACTGGTCAAAATTCTTGAAGTCTTACTTTACTGCACTAATTAATCATAATTTACCTTTAACTAAAAAATATTACATAAATCTAACAAAAAAACCTTTAGCAATAAAAATACATTTGCTCAAGCCTATCGGCAACTCAAATCTAAAAAACTTTTTATAACATTCTTATTACAATTTTTATTTTATTCTTATATTTATATTTTTTAGTTCACTTTTTAAATAATGATCTTTAGATTGAACCAATAACGCGATTTTCCATATAAATCGCGATTTTTTAGAAAAATCGCGACCACAATAAAATCGCAATTCATTAAAAAACGCGATTTTAAAAAAGTCGCGATTTTTCTAAAAAATCGCGATTTATATATTTAAATCGTGATTAAAAAAAGTGGTTGCGGTTTTCCCTAATAATATTTGATCTTTTGAGGTCATTAAGATTGAAATCCTTCATGATCCATTCATTCCTTATAGTTATTGGCAACTTCCTGTATTTAGACAAGAAGTTTGAATAATTAGAAAGTTCTGCTTCAGGTGTAAAAATGAGAATTAATTGTGAAAAGTGTTTTTGAGTTGTGTAAATTGGGAAAATTGACAATTCATAGTTAATTTTCATATCTTTTTCTTTGTTCGACAAAATATGGTCGGAAACAGAATTAATTAATCCCAAAATCTTATATGTTCTTATTGTATGGAATTCTCTATAAGCAAACTCATTAATTAACTGTCCAATCTTCTTATTCGTTCCTTCTTCGATGAAACCATCTTTTAATATTTCAAAAAGACTCAAATTATCTTTAAACTCCTTTGAAATGAAGAAAATACGCTGTGCTTCATCATTATAATACAATAACTTAAGCTCGCAATCAATAATCATTACAGGTGTCATCATTTTATCACAAAATTCTTTTGTAAAGCTTTCAATCTTTTTCTCTTCATTTTTAGAAGTCAAATCAAAAGAAGATTCAATTATATCATTAATCACGTAGTTTCCATTGAGCATCTTAGCATTTGACAATGTTAAACTAAGTACAAAATAAGGAATATCGAAATGTTTTTGCAAATTAAAAATATAAACAATATAAAAGATAATTGAATTCAAGAAAATGAAGTGAAGTGAATAATAAATAATTGGCATATTAAAAATGTTTCCATTTGAACTTGTCAATATTTCTTGAGCAGTTTCATTGATAAGATCTGTTAACTTAGAATAGAATGTTCGGAAAATTAATTTCCTTGTTTCATTTGATAATGTTTCTTCTGTATAATCAGAAGAATTCAAAATATTTTCCAACAATTTCAAATAAATTGAACTTTCTTGTTCAATCAAAGTTGTCGAATCCGAAAAAATTTGGTAATATTTCGAATAACATAATTTGCATAATGTTTTTGATTTTCCAAACCTTGTTTCAGAGATATTCGATATCATATATAAAGTATCATTAATTAAATCAAGTGTTTCTGATGCTGGAATACATCTTGTTTCATAAATATCCAAAATTGAATGAATACACAATTTTGAAAGTTTCAATTCAAATTCAACTAAATAACCATAGCATTCTATTCTCGAATTCTGTGTCTGTATGTAACAGTCCGTACTAGAATAAATAAAAACAATGACAATAACTGAAAAAACAAATAAAATAATGGTTGGCAAATACAAAAGTGTCAAAAATGGCATATAAACCAATTTTCCAATTGTTTCGTCATTTTTCTTTTCCAAGACAAACTGGTTTTCTATTTCTACGGAGCTTTCACTTACTTTCTTATAGAAATTTTTGAGATTGATAAGAAAACTTTTTGACACTTTTTTCAATTCAAAATAAAACGAATTTTCTCTTTTTCTTCCAATGTGAAACAGCAAAATGACAATGGAGAAAGAAACGAAATAACAACTAATATAAATCAAAACAATTGTTGAGAAATGATACTTCATCATTATTAAATTAATATCAGCAGCTTTTCCTAAAACATCAGAAAACATCATATTAAAATTATTCAATCCAGAAATGTAGTTACAATACATTTCCTGAGAAATTTCGTATCTCGAAGAATTTGACATAAAAATCGATTCATACAAATACAAAACATTATGATAAAACTGTTGGAACATTGATCTTGGCCATACCATCATTTGATACATAAACTTATAAATAGAAAAATAATAACTATGAGTAAACCTCGAAAAACTCGATCTCCTTATATAATCAAGGAATAATAATGATTCATTCATATGATCTCTAAAATAAACAAAAGTGTCATTTGTAAATAATTTTTCATCTTTTTGTGGATCATTTCTTAAAAATCTATACAATGGCACGAAAGAAGAAATATTCGCCATATTCTGTAAAATATTATAAACATTAAGCTGCGCATCATATGTCTTTTGTTTCGTTCTTAAATCAAAATTTATCATATAAGAAAAAATTAAATGAGTTCCTAAAATTCCCAAAAAAGCAATCCACATCAAAATACCACGTCTAGAATAACTAAATGGTCCTTTGTTTGTAATATACTGATCAATCTTTTTGTCGCTGAAATCATCCGCAATTTCTTTGAATTTTTGTGAACGGTTTGGCGACTTTTTGATAGAATTTGTATAATCATATTTAGATTTATTGTCAATTGATGTTCCTTTGTTTTGTTTGAAGTAACTTTTGTAATTAACTGATTTCCAGAAGTCTATTTCTCGTTTGTAAGTATTAGAAGGACAAATTATCAAGAAAATTTGCGAAATATTCTCGACATATGGTGAATTAGGGAACATTTGCATGAAATACATGATTTTCTTGAATGTGTCTTCAAATACATCATAAGTAATCAATGTATTGAACGATAGAATGTTAAATGACTCGTTAAAAACTAAATCTGTAATTGTTGTTAACGAATCACTACATTTCTTAAGACAATTGTAGATCTCCATGGCACAAACATGATGTAATGATACAATGTCCTCTTTATGACATGGATTCGTCAATCTTTGGTGTAATTCACAAAAATTAAATCGGTTTTCAAAAATCCTGACGGTTTTGTAACGACATTCTTTGGGAATTTGTGAAGGGACATTTCGGACATGCAAAGGAAGTAACTGACATATGTATCTTCTCCAAATTTCATTTGAAGGGATTCGACGTGGGAACAGTCATAGACATTGGAACAGCCTTGCATGGCGGCGTACACGTAGTAAAGAGCTGCATCTTTCGGTGTTTTGCACAATTCAACAAAATTTTGATCTCGAATGAGAGTTCTACTCTTCTTTTTAAGCCGAGAAACGGTCCATCGGAAATAGAATGTAATGGGAATGGCAACACCGATGTTTAAAGTGATAATTGAGGTTTGAGAAATATATTTTGAAATTAAACTGAAACAAAGGATCGTAGCTGCAAGAGTAAGCGCGGATATGTATGATGATGACGAAAGTAACTCGTTTGTAATGAATGGCTTCGAGAAAAACAGAATTCCATATAATATTGAGAAAACTGCTGGGAAAATGTAATAGTAAGAGTTCGAAAATATATATCCGATACTAATAATCAAGAACATGATCGTAAAATATAAGAAATAAGGGAAATAAAGGATATTTTCCATTGGATGAATAGATAATACTAAAAAGTTACGGGCAAAGATAAATCTGAAGCTTGCAAATATGTTTGAGAACAAAACAAACGTTGCGTAAAGAACAACATCACTGGCTAAGGTTTTTGTCTGTAAAGTGTGGTTAATAATCATCAAGCATAGTAGGAAAATCATTGGCTGAAGGATGGTATGAAAAAGAACATCGAATATTATCAATAAATAACAAAATCCGGCATTTAAAAATCCTTGTCGATTATATGTTGATTGACAGTATCCATTTATAATGAAATAGAATATATATAGGTAAAACATGTATCTCGCAAAGTCATCTGTGTTGTAATTTGTTACATTTGTTAATAAATATTTGGAAAATTCTGTAATGAATGGAATTACGTTTTCTTTTTCACCTTTTTTCGTTAGTGGTATAATTGTAAAAAGAAATAATTGTATATGTAAGATAATGCAAATAATATAGTAAATAAAAGGAGGAATTTTGCATCTACTTATGATATAAATCGAGAAATTGGTTGGTAGCTTCTTTTCGATGCTGATCTTAAAACTTTCAAGAAGATTCGACTTATTATCTTTATCTCTTTCCATCCTAAGATGCAGGACGATATGTAAACTTCGTGTAAAGAAAAAAATTCAAAAATCAAAAAATTTAGAAAACATATAACGTCATGTAAATATTCTTTGTAATTTTTTTTAATTTGTGATGTTTACATAATTATTTTGAGAAGTTTATACACAGAAAAATTTTCAAAATAACGAAATTGCTATTGACTTTTTGTTAATTTAATATTATTATAGTATATAGTGCGCAAAATAGTTTTATTCAGTTTTGTGACGATTGCCTTATAATTCCAAATTATTGTTTCGATTTTTTCGATGAACTGGGGACACTTCCATGAGGATTGGAATTCACATACAAATTTTAAGAATTTCAACATGTGCAAGTTTACGAATATTGATGGAATTCTGGCAAATTATATGATATTATTATAAATAGTGCTTGAATTTCTATAAATAAATCTTTTCTAACAGAATATTTATTCAAATAACAAAAATAAATCAAAATACTAGTAATAAATCAAATTAAGGAATTTCAGGTCAGAAAATCAGATTTGCAAGGATTAAGCCATTTGAAATCTGTAAATTTACTATGCATTAACATATAAATTAAGTTTCTTTATGCTAATTTAACTTGAAAAATTTTGAGATTTAAACATTTGGCTTCATTTGCAATTGACTCCTTAATTTAGCATTCTCTGATATTAATGAATCAAATCTTTGTCGTAGTAAAACTACAAATTTTTCAAAATTCTCTTCATTAATTTCTTCTGTTGTATTAAATAAAGAGCAAAACTCAATTCCTATTCTTCCTATTAAAGCTCTTTTTGTGGATTCTGCTTGTTGTTTTGTAACTCCTAACTGATTATTTAATTCTTTCTCTTTGAACAACATTTTTGTTGTTAATTGGTTTTCCAGTAGCTTTAATTCTCTCTTGTATTGCTCTTCATTTGATTTCAACTGCATATTAACTTTCTGTAAATCAAGTGACAAAAGTTTAATTTTTTCATTCAAATCCGAAATTTCATCATTTTGTTGATTGATCTTTTGTTTCATTTTTTCAGAAGATGTTTGATACTCACCATTATGATCCTTTAATTGTGCAATAACTGCTTCAAATCTTGTTGTTATTGTTTGTCTTTCAGCTTTAATTCTTTCTTGAGAAGATAATTCAATTTCCTTAATTTGTTGTTGAGTTTTTGCAACTTCATCAGCATATTTCTTCTTCGAACTGTGCATTAATTGTAAAGATCTCTGTATCTTCTCTTTCTCATTTGATTCTTGTCTTAAGTTTTCTTCGATATCCGCTCTTTTTTGTATTTCTTCTCTTGTTCTTTCGTTTGCTTTTTTAACAGCTTTTTCGCATTCTTCAATTTGTAACGCATGAGATTCAGCCATTGTTTTCATTTCTCTTGAGTGATCTTCTTGTTCTTGTGCAAGCTGATCTTGTAATTCTTTAATCTTTGATTGAAGAGATTTGTTTTCTGTCTCAAGTTTCATTGCTTTGTCTGAGATTTCTGTTGCTTCATTTTCTAATTCACTTAATTTTGAAATACATTCTTCATCTCTTTGTTTAGCGGCTTTAATAATGGATTTGTTTTGCCTGCGTATATCTTTTATATTAGCATGCAATGCTTGTATTTCATCAATCATTTGTTGTATAATAGTTATTGCGTCGTCTTCATTTCTTGCACCTAAAATTGACAAAATTTCTAAAACAATTTTTTCTTTTTGATCGTCAAATTTTTTGTCTTCTTGTATCTGATATCCTTTCTCAGCTAATGTATTAGATATTGTTGTCAATCCTTGTTCTGATTTAATTAAATCATCTAATGACATTTCTATACCGAGATTTCTTGTTAAAACATCTAAAACTTGTTCAAATTTTTCAGAAATTTGTTTTAATTTTGTTTGATTTTTATCTATATCATTGTTTTTATCTGTAATTGCTTTATTGTACCATTGAACAACAACTGTTAATATATTCTTCATTTTGGCTTGTACACGGAGTGTCTGATTCTTCGAAATATCTGATATTAATGTTTGTAATTCTTGTGGTAAATCTTTGTTTTCAAAAACATTAATATTGATTGGTTCTGTTTGAGATTGCAATTGTCTACGTTCTTCTGTAGCTGCCCTTAATCTTCTTTCCTTTTCTTCTTTCTCCATTTTTGAAATTTGTTCTGATAATTGTTGACTTTGTTTTGTTAAGTTGTTAACAAGGGCTGATTGCTCATTACCGAATGTTTTAGCCGATTCTAAGTCTTTCGTAAGCTTTTCTATTTGATTTTGTTGATTGTTTGATTTAATTTGTTCATCAGATAAAATTTTGATTGTTTTAGCGTTTTCCGTTTTGATTTGTAATAACTGTGATGATAATACTTTATTCTTCTCTTCTTCTCCTCTGAAATCTGACTCTTTACTCATGTATCTTGATTCTGATGAATTTAATTGCTGAGTTAAATCTTCAATTTTAGCTAATGCATGGTCATAATTGAATTTGATTTCTATTTTGGCTCTATTGGCCTCTGTTAACTCGTCTTTTAAGAGTTTACTAGCATTTTGAGATGATTTGTATTTATTTGTAAGATTAGACATTTCTTTCTTAAGATTTGAGTTCATATCTGTTAGCTGTTTAATATTACTATCTCGTTCTGTTAATTTTGCTTCTAATTCATGTATTTCGTCCTTTAATTGAGCTGTTTGACCATTTTGCTCTGTAATAATTTGCATTTTCTGATTTGCAATAGCAGTAGCGAGATCTCCATTCTTAGTTGTAAGCTCTTTAATGAGAATATGTTGTTTATCATTTTCTAATTTCAAGTTTGAAATTTGATTTTGGAATTGACGAGTAGTTGAATCTAAAATATCTTTATTCTTTTGCTCTTGAAGTTGAAAGTCATGAACTAATCCGTCTTTATCTGCTAAAAGACGACGATTTATTTTCTTTAACTTTTTAATTTCTTGGCAGAGAGCTATGAGTTCATATTCTGAAGAGTTATTACTTGTTTCTACAATTGTAGTGGTTTTGGGTTCTTCTTTTTGGGAAAATCGGAATTTTAAGGCTTCTGGATTTGAGAATTTTGTATCAAAGTAATTTTCGGCAGCAGAAAGTATACTGTTTGTAATTTCTTTCGATTCATTTAAGTCTTGCATCGATTTATCGACTTTCTGTGAAAATGTCTGATTATTATTCCGCAATTCGTTAATTGTTTTCTGTAAGACAATAATGTTATTTTTGAGATTTTCCACTTCTTTAGATGAGTTTGAACTACCCTGTAACTGAATAGATTCAACCTGACTTTGAAGTTCTTGATTTCTATCGACAGAAATCTTTAATCGTCTTGCCAAATCATCATATTTTCCCTGTATATCACGAATTTCTTTCTCTAATGAAATATTTTTCGCACAAACTGTTTCTAATTGGGTGGTTACTACATTTGTCATATCAATTTGGGATTTCATTGATGCAAGCTTTGCTATTAAGTCAGAGTTCTCCTGTCTTAATCGTATTAACTCTGAATTATCTGCATCCATGAAAATTTGCTAAACTGATTTTTAAAATTCTATTGCATTCAATTTTTTTAAAAGTAAAAAATCGAAGGCTTAACTCGAACTCCCATCCTTTGGGATTTTTCTATTAACATATCTTTATTTTAATTACAAAAAAGTATTACAGCCCTGTGAAGCACTAAGCAGTGATTTGTAATAACTTTTTCCCGACCAAAAATATTAACTTTTGACCATAGAAAATTGGGATATAAAGCTTGGACGTCAAAAAAATTGAGAGCGTGTCAGAAAGTGGTAAGTGCACTCCCCTTAAGATTTCGAACTTATATATTGGATGCTTCTAATGACTTAGATTCTTAATAATGTATACTATCACTGTCCCATATAAAAGTATTCTGAATATCTAAAATCTAACGCAATGTGTAAAATATGCATACAAAATTAGTACAACATGTGTAATTAACATATGTAAAAGCGAGTAGAGGCGACCATTAATTGAAATATAGTTAAACAATAGCAAAATAAATAAATTAGTTTATGAAATTAAGACAAAAAGTTATTGATGACGCTATCCATCATCTTCTCGAGAGCTGAGTGAATCTCCTTCTTCTCAGGATGGCCGAATACAAGTGCGTTTGTGTACATTTCTGCTGCACCAGCAGTATCTCCCAAACTTTCAGCAATGACAGCTTTTGTGTAAGCGATTCCTGGTTCATGGGGTGCGAGACTTTCTGCTTTGTTAAGGAGTTCAAGTGCTTCTATTGGATCTCCTGAGTCAGCAGCCATTACACCCTTCTGGAAAACAGGAACTAAGTTGGATGGATCAAGAGAAATTGCGAGATCGAAATGCTCTGAGGCTTCTTCTTCGTTTCCGCACTTTCTGAGGATCATCGCGTAAACATAATGAAGAACACTTGAGTCTGGATTGGCATCTAATGCCTTTCTCATGTAATACTGGGCGGCTCCGAAATTATCTTGCTTAAAATGAACACTTCCGAGGCCGTACCAGGCACTCCACTCTTGTGGATTCCTATCTATTGATTCTCTGAACAATTTGGATGCTTCTGAAAGAGAATCAAGTAATAATAATTCATGTCCAGCTAAAGCTAGTGGATATGAGCAACTATGATCGATTCCTGCTGCTCTCTGAAACATTTGAACTGCTGCATCTGAATTATGTTGGATAGAAAGCAAGTTTCCTGCTGCAACCCATGATTCTGGTTTATTTGGAGCAATTTCAAGTGCTCTTCTGGAAACTTCATTCAATTTCTTCTCATCTTTAAGTTGCCATAATGTTGTTGAGTAAATATCAACGCCAAGAACAGTATGTGGATGAATTTCATATAATCTTGAGAAAATCGCTGCAGCCTCTGTATATTTAGAGCATCTGAAGTAATACTCTGCTGATAGTAATAGAACCAAGATGGAATCTTGCATTTCTGAAGGTAATTTCTTTGACATTTCTATGATACTCATTGGCTTTTTGAGAAGTTGTGTAGAAATTGGGATTGATTTCTTAGGGATTGGTAGTTTGCTGCCAATAGACTTCCTTTCACGGATTTGGGATGGAGTTAACAAATGAGATTTATTTTTATTCTCATTCTTTTGTTTGGCTGGTTGGAATTTGTCTGATGTCTTTGGAATGATGGAAACAATTGATGAATTCATTTGTACAGCTTCCTCGTAATATTTTGAAGCATCTTCATGGCGATGTGTACGCGTGCAGATCAATCCTGTATAGTATTTCAATGCAACTTTAATGTCTTCTTCCATTTCAGGGAAATTCTGGTATGATTTCTGTATAATAGCTTCAGCATCAGTGAACTTTCCACATTCTAGAAGAGATTGTACATAAATAACAAATAATTCTTGCGATTCCCATATTAAGTTGATGTTTTGCTTGCATAATAAAACAGCTTGAGTTGCAGAATTTGATTCTAAATATGCTTTTGCGTAATATGTTAATATTTTTGCACTTCTTGCAAGAGCAAATGCTTCCTGGCAAAGAAGAATGACGTTGTCATACATTCGAAATCGTAAGGAAAACTCAATTGCTTCACAATCAACACTCATACTTTTTTTTTGGAATTAATAAACGCGCACAATTCAATTCAAAAAAATAAATCGCATTTAAGGGTATAGTTCACTCAAAATTCTAGAGTTTTGAGAGTGCCAATAAACTCTATAGGCCTATGCATATCTTGGATTAAGAAATACTACTAACAAGTATGGAATTTGCTTGTGATCTGTAGAAAAACGAAATAAATCATATGTTATTCAATGATTCGAATTGTGTATGAAGAACCAATGATTCAGCTTATGGGATATTGCCGCTCGGAGCTCTTGTGAGATTTGCCACCGGAGTTCATAAGAGCGTCACTTTTTGTACCCAACACCTCTTGTATTTATTTTAAAGGAGATGTTACTCCATAATGTTTGAAATTATTAAGTGTGAACTTAGGCTCCCTATGACATGGCCTTCAATTCAGATATTTAGGGTTAAGGGTGCACTACAAGGATTAGAAAGTTCTCAAAAAATTCATAGAGCTCTATCAATTCTCTTATCCTCCAAAATAATAAAACCCTATATTTCGCTTCATTGTAATAAAATATTTTAATTTTGATTTAAGATATAGAATTAAAGTAGTATATGATGCGGGTTGTGTGACTTTTTTTGTAAACGTAAGAATTCATACAATATTGAACGATTTTGTATCATTTTTTTTAACATATGAAGTAAAAAATGTATGATTCTTACGGTTTTTATTCTTACGTTTTTGAATAAATCAAGATTTAAAAAATTGACTTCTTACGTAAAATTAAAACTAAGTTAAATTTATTTTTTTAATTTTTTATTTTATAATAAATGAGTATAACAACTAATTCATTGAAATCTTTAAAGTTCACTAATTCAGAATTAGAAAATATTTTAGAAAATTTTGGAGACGGTTCTTATCCAACATATATGCAGAATGTGAAAGAGTTTTCCAGATTGTTGAATGAATTTAAATATAACGGACCAATTACTAAAAAGGCTATAATGAGATATTTATATCCCAAAAAAGTTGAAAAACAGGAGAATATTCCTCTTTATGGTCCAGAGGACCTGGGCTCAGAGAGCCTTGAAACACCTCCTGAATATTTTGAAGAAAAAATTAAACAAGATGAATATTATAACGATGAGATTGAGAAATTGGAACAATTAAGAAATGAAATAGATGAAAAAATTAAGGAATTGAGAAATGCTGAGAATGAAGTAGAGGGTTTAATGAATATCCCGGCTTCAGAATCAGAAGTTCAAAAATCACATGAGGAAAGATATAAAAATTACTTTTTGGAATCTACTAAAAATTTATTAGATGGTGATATTGACGAAACACTTTCAGAAGAAGGCACAAAATTTATTCATAAACATAAGTTACAATTTATTGACGATGGAGATTATCCATGTATATTACTTTCACCTCCTCTTGATTCTGAAAAATTCAAAAAAGCACTGAAAAATGTAACATATGCAACAAATACGATTAAGAAAGAAGACCATGATATTTACACAAATTATTATTTAAATAAATGTACAGGTGTTGATAAAGTTTTTGATTTGTTAGATAAAATATCAAAAGAAACAATTGGAACCTATAAAATTTTATGTGATTGTGGTTTCATTATTGAAGATACCAATAATGTTTCATATGAAAGAACAGCACCGAAGGAAGACGAAGTTGAAAGGTCTATACCATTCGTTATTAAGAATATAAAAGATATGAAAACGTATAAGCATTATATTTATTCATTTATTTCAGAAAAAATGGAAGCAACCCATAAAACATCATCTCATCATTTTATAGCTATTCATACATTCCTTTTCAAAGTTGTGAAATTAAATAAGACAGGAATTAGATTTAATGTATCAGGGTACGCATTCTTGAGTAAATTAAAATGTATTCGTCACGTCGCAGATGATAAAAATTTATGTGTTCTTAATTCATTTTATGGACTTTAGCCCTGGACTCTCTGAGTCTCGGACTTTAAAAAAATAAACTTTATTTTTATTTATTTTTATTCTTACATAAATGAACAAAAATGGAACAGCTAAAATGAATGATAATCAAATAAGAGCCGAAGGTAGAAGGTTATTTAAACGCTTCTATAACATTCCTGATGGTGTTAATCCTAAAACTCGTAGAAGTTATTTAAATGAAGCAATAGATGCATATGAAGGATTTGACATTTCATCAGAAAGTGAGAGGTTAGCGAGAATGTTAAATGTTAATATTGATTTCTATTATTGTGATCCTCAACCAGAAGACGTAGACATTAACAAGGTAGACTTTCCATTAGTGGATTCAATAATGATAGATCCAGAATTTGAAACAGTAAATATTTTATTAACACAGAGTCCATGTGGAAAACTTCACGCTGACAGAATAACAGACGTTGAAGCACTCACAGGATATAAAGTTTGCCCCTTTTGCAAAGAAGAAGTATATTCTATCCGTGATGATCCAGAAAGGAAAAACCAAAGAAGATTTTTAAAACATTGTGAGAAATGTAAAGAAAATAATGGAAGATTAATTCAAGACGTTCAATTGCAAAACACACAACAACCATATGCACCACATATTACGAAACAGAAGATATATCAATGGCTATTAGCACATAATTTGCAGGAATATTATAAACCAACAAGATATTATATTACTTTTGACTTCGAAACATTAGAGACTAAAGAAGAATTACAACTTTCTGAGTGTGCAACTTTAAACGCTTACTTAAAACCATTCATGGTATCATCAACGGTTAAATTAAACGATAAAACATATACGAGGAATTTTTGCTTAACTTCGAGTGATTCTTTTATTTCTGATTGGATTGAGTTTTTATTTTCAACCTGTTCATTAGTTGCTAAATCCAATATTGAACAATATGAAGAATTAATGAAGTCGCAAACGGACCAAACGGCGGGGACTTTGTCTCATACATTAAATGAAAAACAGAAGGAAGCATTTAAAGAGCTTTTAGATGAAGAATTTAATAAAGTGAATATCATTGGTTTTAATTCAGGAAAGTTTGATTTAAATTTAATTCTTCGTGATTTAAATACTGCAAAATGGAAGATAAAATCAATGCTGGGTTCTTCTTCTCAATTTAAGCAAGTCATAGTAAAGAAAACAAACTGTCCATATGAATTAAGATTTATTGACATCAGAAATTATATAGCGGGTGGAACATTAGACCAATTCACTCAAGATTTCGGAAACAATAAATCACGTGTTAAATCCTTTTTCCCTTATCAATTCATCACATGGGAAATTACGAAGATGAATTATATAAAAAGGAACCATTCACGAAAGATTCATTTTATTCAGCATTAACACAAGAAACAATATCCGATTCAGATTATCAAATATCTCAATGATGCTAAAAACTTTAAGAATAGATTAGAATATTTTATTCATTATTGCAATAAAGATGTTGAAATTATGATTGACCCAATTGATAAAATTATCGAAGAAACATTTGTTTATAAATTGACATGCTTCATAATCTTTCTTTATCATCGAATGCATCAATGATTCGTTACGCGTTAGCATATAAGAACTTCAATCCTAACGAAACATATCCAGAAGAAGAAAATGTGGAATCAAGTTTTGAATTAACAAAAAAGTATTGGAAATATAAAATTGAATCATATAAGAAACAAGATGAAAAAGCAGAAAGGGATACTAAAAACAATGTTTCAATGGATGACTATCAATACTATCACGATTTAATCCTTTCATCTAAATGCAAAATGTGTGGTAAAGCGTTTACATATGCAAATAAACCAACATTGGATAGAATAGATAATGAAAAACCACATACCAAAGAAAATTGTCAGTTAATGTGTTGTTATTGCAATGTCGTAAAATCAAATAAAGATGAAGATGTTCAACGTTTAAGAATCAATTTAAGAAATTATGCATTAAAAAATAATTTACCAATGACTTTAGATTCAGTTGAAGCTTATCACATTCTCCGTAATGGAATTACTGGTGGTCTATCAAATGTTCAACATCGTGTTAATCTTAAAGGAATCACGCACATTAATAAACTTTCATATAATCCAGAAACTAAAACTGGATCAAATGAGGACACCAACATTATGACTCATTTCGTTGGAGTTGACTTTAATTCATTATATCCTTCATCATTTTCATCTAATCCTCATGATTTCATTCAATATACTGACCATAAAATGTATATGCCGGGAAGATTGAATGGTGTTATCATTTGTGATACAGCAACAAAGAAAGCAAAAGCACTGGGAATTATTAAGAAGAAAAATACTTTATTCGTGGCTGAAGTAAAGGGTCACATTGATGAAAAATACATTAATGATTACATTAACTTTTTACCGATAATAAGAAACTTAGATATTATCACAGATGAAAAAACAATTGGCAGTTTTATGTATAATTACATGAAATCAAACAATCTACCAGTTGACCAGAAACAGAGGAAATTAACTCAGTTAGCATCAACACACAACCAATATCAACCATTTTCTTCTTATTATCTTTGGTATCTAATAGACAGATTTCATTTTATCATCGATGATATTCAATCAATTTTAACATTTACGAAAAACACTTGTTTTAATGAATTTGCGAACAAATTTATGAACGAAAGACAAAAGGCTGAATTAGAAGGAAATAAAGGAAAAAGTTTATTTTGCAAGATTTCACTTAATGGATCATATGGTTACGATGCAATGAATACACAAAATTACGCAAAGACTAAAATAATGAATGCACAGAAGTCACGCGTTGCATGTATGTCAAATAAGTTTAAAAACATAAGAGAAATAGGTGAAGATACATATCAAGTGATGCTTAAAGATAGATTTTATAGATGTGATACATGTTTACAAGAGGCATTCTTCACTTTAGATAATGCTAAATACTGGTATTTGGTTTTCATTTATGATTTTATGTATAAATGCATGGATGTTAATCGTTTTCATTTCATTGAAGGTGATACTGATT